ATCAAATACGGAACATATCGGCGTGCGCAGGCCAGAGTGCTGAAGCTCGGCGCATTGTTATTATGAAGCTAGGGCACATGTGGAGGACACGCGCGCGCGCACAAACATATACTTGTTTTCAATTACATTTATTGTGCCCACTTACTTTTTCTTTGGCCCACCCACAAATGAGTTTCTGGCTACGCTAATGGTGACATCTGACAGACCTCTGAGCTCCGCAGCCATTACACTTTTCACCTCGCGCACCCCCCCCGCACCCCCTAGCGGCAGCTCGCGCACCCCCACACTTTGGGAATCCCTGAGTCCAAACAACAGCTTTAAACTTTTAAACTAACAGTCTGCCACTGTGAACTCTTGACTCTCAGGAAAAAAAAACAATCCATTTGAAACACTAATGGCAAAGCGGTTTTCTAATGACTTTACCTTCCTCCTGAACAGAGCCGGACTGAATCTACAACTTTTGCTCAAATATATCATTGTTTTGGGGGTTGTTTTATTTTTTATGGGGTTTTAATACTGGGTATTTTTTTGTTTTTTATTCAGCACTATGAGGCCTTTAAATATAATTATAAAATTTTACTTGAGCACTAAATATACTTTTGCCAAACAGTGCAATATTACACTAACTAAACCATTACGTGACCTTTGTAGGGGTTTTCCCAGTAAAACGTTTATTCTCGCACCCTTCTAACATATGGTGCCTCCTTCACGATTTTCTGTGTTGATGTTAAGTTTGGTTAAGTGCATTTCAGTGGATTTTTAAATAAACTTTCATTTAAATATGACTTAATCTAATGATCCACAGAGTCAGAGTTTGTGACCATATTGGTTGTAAAAGTTTACCATTTGTTTCTGATGATTCAATCGTGACATTACATGGTGTGTAAAGCTGAAAATATAAGTGCTGTGTGTAAAATAAAGGTGCTGTATGGTTTTTTTCTGCATGAATGTATTCATGTGTAACAAGCTATTATTTACTCCATGCAAAAGGTGCTTTTCAATTTGTTGTGTCTTATTTCCTTTTCTCATTCACCTGCATCCTATAGACAAAATGATACCTGCTTCATATCCTGAAAATACTTAAATTTGCCCTCATATCTTTTTTAAAACTGCACAAGTCTAGTTCACAATGATTGGAAGAGGTTTTCCAGGGTTGTACATTTCAAATGCAATTAAAATGATTCTTTTTTGTTTTTGACAAATCCTCTAATTTCATTGGTTGCCATCCATTTGTGGTGAGTATTTAAATCAATATGGCAAAAAAATGAAATACTTCAGAACAACGCTTAATATATCCACTTTAAATTCTACCTTCATCTTATTCCTTGACGAGGTAAGGAGCTGATTTTCTAGGATGTTTTTCTTTTGTAAGAGTTGTTTATGATGACCAAGCTATCTGAGATTACTTGATTTAACTCAACATGAATTTGTTTCAGTGTTTTAACAGAAAGACATGGCTTAAAATAAAAAGAACAAAGAGGCAGGGTGAATATTTATTACATCCTATAAGGAGTCGATTCTCCTGGGAGAGGAGCAGCACTGAATAAAACATTAATATAACCTAAATAATAGATCATTAAGTATGAAATGCCTTTAATTTCTATCTTTATTGTAGGATTGCAGACAGGTCTCCATCTGTTACTCTTAGTTCACCAAGATTTTGTGCAAGGGTATCTATGTCTATGTTTATGTATTTAGCAGACGCTTTTGTCCAAAGGGACTTATGAGTGATAATCGGCATGTTGCCCTTAAAGCTAACAACAACAATAACAACAACAACTTGACATCAATCAAAGAGAGGAGGGAACAAGGAGTGGACGGTAGAGAGGGGGACGGGTGCAGGGAGGGTGCTAGTTTAGAAGATGCTCTCTGAAGAGCAGGGTCTTCAGGAGTTTCTTGAAAATTGAAAAGGAAGCCGCTGCTCTGGTAGTGCTTGGAAGGTCATTCCACATTTGTGGAATGATGCATGAGAAGAGTCTGGATTTTCCTGAGCGTGGTGTAGGCACTGCTAGCCGACCATCCTGTGATGACCGGAGCGGCCGGGCCGAGACGTAAGCCTTTGCAAGAGGATTCATTTATCTTAAGTTGTTTTCTGTCAAGTGACCTTGGATGTTCTGAAAGGCGCTTTTAAATAAAATGTATTATTATGATTAAGCCATGTCTTTCTGTTAAAACACTGAAACAAATTCATTATGAGTGAAATCAAGTCATCTCAGATAGCTTGGTCATCATAAACAACTCTTACAAAAGAAAAAGAAAAACATCTTAGAAAATCAAGTAGTTTGTGCAACAGCATATGTCCTATTAGCTCCAAGGTCTCTGATAAGCCTGCAACACAACAAAGGTACAGTGCCTGGCAAAAAGTTGCCACCTGGAGTTTAACTAAGCAAATTATTATGAGCGTCCTGCTGGATAATTACTGCATGGGTGATTATCTTCCAGCAAGCAACGAGTGATTTAACCCCAACTGCTGCAATGAGTTGCTTCTCGTTTCTTAAACAACCATGTGGAAAGACACGCCTGGTGGTCGTAGAAAAGATATTTGAGAAGGGTAAGATCATTGGCATGCATCAAGCAGAGAAAACATCTAAGGAGATTGCAGAAGTTACTAAAATTGGGTTAAGAACTTTCCAATGCATTATTAAAAACTGGTCTGATGAGTCCGGATGGACCCTGTTCCAGACTGACGGTGCATCAGGGTAAGAAGAGAGGCAGATGAAGTGATGCACCCATCATGCCTTGTGCCTACTGTACAAGCCTGTGGGGGCAGTGTTATGATCTGGGGTTGCTGCAGTTGTTCAGGTGCAGCAACAGGATGTGCTCCAAGAAGGAGATCAGCTGACTACCTGAATGACCAGGTTATTCCATCTTCCCTGGTGACACGGGTATATCCCAATTTGACAGTGCCAGGATTCATCGGGCTCAAATAGTGAAGGAGTGTTGCAGGAAGCATGAGACATCGTTTTCACACATGGATTGGTCACCACAGAGTCCAGACCTTAACCCCATTGAGAATCTTTGGGATGTGCTGGAGAAGGCTTGGTGCAGCGGTCAGACTACCATCATCAATGCAAGATCTTGGTGAAACATTAATGCAACACTGGATGGAAGTAAATCTGGTGACATAGCAGACGCTTATTGAGACAATGCCACAGCGAATGCACGCCAGATTCAAGGCTAAAGGTGGTCCAGTGAAATAGAGTGTGTGACCTTTTTTTGGAGGCAGCTTTTTTGTTTTGGCCGGGCGGTGTATTTTGTGTTTTGTCTATAAAAGTCATGTTTTCTGATGCTAGGCCCCAACAGATAACTGCCATGGAAAATTGTCTCCATTTATCAGCATCTTACAGATGAGCTGCATCGTTCCGCATACATAAACTAAGATGTGTAAACATTTTCTGTGTGGGTTGAGTCAGTTTTCTGGGTAAACTTCCGAAACTACGCAGGCTATTAACATCGTTCTGTCTTCTGTCCACCTCCATAATTGAAAAGTCATGGAATTGCTGTAGATAGCAAAAGAATATGAGATGCATTCATCATTGAAAGTAGAGAGATTGAAGAGGAATGATGAGATCGCAGCTCTTTGAAATGCTCCCGAGCAGCTGACGAACCTGATACAACCCTTCAGTCTTCAGACTGTGGCCTGTCAGCTAGTCAATAACTCAGACAATTGTAGATTGAAAGAAATGAATGGGGAGCTTTGTTCAGATTAGAACAATTATGTTAGAAAATCATGCATGTAGGACTCTTTATTCTCTGTACAGCTTTCATGATGTGGAAAAACAGATTTTTAAACATGAACATTGGCTTTATGGTTTAATGACCATTGGACAATAAACCGAGGACTTTTTAGTACAACTGTAACTGTTATTGGTTGAGAGGACCCAAGATGATGTAACTTAGTTACGTGCTTTTAGAACAATGTGGACACTCACCGTGTCCCAAGCAAACAAAAGATCAATAAGTAACCTACTGGCACACAAGACACACTGATTTGTTTGGCTTTTAAGACAAATGGGGGAATGCCACAGTTCAGCACAAATATCACTATCTTTACTATCTTGTCCAGCGTGACAATGTAATACCTCACAAAAATAAGGCTGTGTTGTTTTTCACTGACTCAACTTGGGACTTGTGCCACACTGACAACGGATCTGAACATATTTAATTTTCTAATGCCTGTCTTTTATTCTGTTTGTTCTGTTTTTGTTTCCACTTATGCTCTTTCATCAGTTTCTTTCTTTTAGAGGCCCAAATGTAGTTCTTGTTGTTTTGTGTTCGTTCATTTTGAAATAAAGTTTTAAATTTAGGCTCCACAAAGATGTGATTGTTCATTTGACAAATTTGAAAAAATTTGGTCACAACATGTCAGAAAAAGTTTATGAAGTCGTTAATATGAAGAACTGGAGCTTTTGTATAGAGAAGAGAGAGTGTCTACTAGCCATGATTTTGATTTTATGAATTAAACAACATAAAAGCACCTGTATGTTGTGTGTGTGTGTGTGTGTGTGTGTGTGTGTGTGTGTGTGTGTGTGTGTGTGTGTGTATACGTTTTAGACCAGTTTTTTTTGTAGGTGTGTTTTTAATGTGTTTTTAACCAAATATGTTAACTTTATTCACATTAATTTACTGAGATATTACTGAATTAGGCTTTTATTTATTATTTTCAAGATTTCAAATCGGCATTAATTTCCCCTTTCAACATATGAGAGCTGCTTTTGATGGGACCTACATATAAAATCATTGGGACATGTACTGATGTAGATCTACAAAACTTTGTTTTATAAAAAATAAGAAACAAACCAGGGGTTATAATTGCTTGCATAGGCAGTTTTTTTCTTCTTGTCTATTTGATTATGGCTATAATAGGTGTGGATTTTCCACAGAAACGGATTCTTACCACCCTCATTTCGACATATGACCCCTGCCTGACGCGCTCCGTAAAAAACCTTAATTCCTGTTTTGGTGCCTGACTCCCTGCGAGTCAGAACTGAGGGCTTAAATGCGAACTGTGTGGAATGGTGTCACGTGACGCGGTTCTTATAAACAGGTGTCATATGATTTTATGTTAGTGTGCAATATGGCGCTCAGGCTCCGGCCGGTGACGGTGTGTTTCCTCGTTGTTTTCAGCGGAGTTTTCAGTTTTCCTCTCGGTCAGCAGAAAAAGGAAACAACATGCGGATACCAGGTTAGCTGCCTCCATGGTTTTGTGGTTTTTTTTCTGATTTAGTCTTTTTATTAAACGTTTTAGCTGAGCTATTTTACTGAGTGAAAAATGAAAGAAATCCTCTTTCGTTCTCTCTGTATTTCCTCCTGACATAGCAGTATCCACAGGGAGTCCCCTTTCTGTTGCTAAGTGTGTGTTTGTGTGTTTTCAGTCATGTCACGCCACCAAGCCCGACATGTTAAACGTTCACCTGGTTCCTCACACACATGATGATGTCGGCTGGCTCAAGACTGTGGACCAGTACTACTACGGAGGTGAGTCCAGGTCCAGTGGCGGACCTAACAAAATACGGGGTGACACAGGGGGTGGGGGTGGGGGGCGGCAACATGTTTTAAGGTGCCAAGATATGGCATAGGTAGTATACTCTTTTGGCGACATAGACACAATTTATATTCTAAAATATGAGGAATCATAGATAGATAGATTGGTAAATGTAGAGTAGGCATTTGGAATGAACAATAGATTAAGAATGCCCCTGTGGATTTCTATGCACTGTGCTCTAACCCTAACCCTTATCAGTATTTACATTGTTGTACATGTATTTGTTTTGCTTCACGTCATCATTTTATCAGTTAAAGTCGTAATCTGTTTAATCGGACATGTGACATTCATGTACGTCAAGTCCGATTAGCCTAAAACATTTCTTGATTGATTGATTTTTTATTTTTTGGCAGCCAGCTTGGGTGGCAGCAGGGGTAGCTCTTTTTTTTTTTAGGGTGGCAGTTGCCACCGTTTGCTGTCCCTGTCCAAGCCACAAATACATTATTTAACTACTGAAAATGTCTGTATTTGCTTTTCTGTAATTTGATAATCTACTTTTATGTTTTTATTATAATCTTGGTTACATATTTGAGGTAGTTTGAAGGTGGTTCGGCTTTTTTTTCACTGTCATATAAATGTTTTACTACAATTGCATGACTAGCTTATGTTTTATGGTGAGCTGTGTGTTCTGCACATGGTTGCTTTTCTTTGTGCATTCATTGTATCATGCTGGGATGTTGACTTTGCACAATTTAAGCTTTTAGGTATTCGGTAAGATTTGTGACTTCAAATATTCACAAAAATAGAATTCTATAGGGGGCATTTTATGCAAAACTCGCCTGTTGCATCATCTCACATGTGCTGCTGTGCTGGTCTCTACTGCTTATACTGAAATAAGCACTCGTTACAACCGAGGAATGCAGCAAAGCATTTGTGAAGCCACAACACGCACAACCTTGAGGCGGATGGGCTACAACAGCAGAAGATCCCACCGGGTCCCACTCATCTCCACTACAAATAGGAATAGGAGTGGTGCAGTTGTTAGCACTGTTGCCTCGCAGCACGAAGGTTGCAGGTTCGAAACTCGGCTGCGGCCTTTTTGCGTGAGTTGCATGTTCTCCCCATGCATGCGTGGGTTTCCTCCGGGTACTCCGGTTTCCCCCACAGATCACAACATGCCCTATAGGTTATAAATTGTAAGTCGCTTCAGATAAAAGCGTCTGCTAAATAAATAAACATAAACATAAACAAAAAGAGCTACAATTTGCTACTATTTGCACCAGCTCACAAATGGGCCATTCCCATCTGTACCGGGTCGGCCCGGGCCGGGTAGCGCAGGTTGTTTACATATCTGGGTGGCCTGGTATTTTTCCGGGCCAACCAGGGCTCATTCTCAGCCCTCTTCTGGAGGGGGTCTGCTTCAGGCCGACCAGGGCCAACACACCCACTGCTGACAGCAAATTCACACCTTCCATTAGAGCAAGCCTCTGATTGGTGGGTAGAATCAGCCCACATGGGCTTAAGACAAGGATGTGTGGAATCAACCGGGCCAGGCTGGGGCTACCCGGCCCGGACCGACCCGGTACAGATGGGAATGGCCCATTAGACAGTGGGAACCTGCTCCTTTCTGGATTCAGCCTCTAATGGATGAGGTGGGAACTGCGATTATTGTCACCTCGGCATTGGGTTCACTTTTTATGTGTGGCTCTTTTATTAATTTACAGAATTGGGGATATAAAACATAACTGTCAAGGAAATGTTTAGTTGGAGTTCATTTCCCTTGCGCAACGAACACGAAATGATTTTAAATTAAAACAAATTCTGGGGAAAAGGGTAAACTAACCGTTAACAGGAATAAAAAATGCTTGTGCAAAGTAAAATGTTCTGCAAGGGAGTTTCCCAAAACTGCAAACAAAGGAATCTTAAGTTGGATAAAAATAAATTTATAATAATAATTAGGAAACCAAAAAATTTGTGTGTACTGTAAAACCTTATGAATAAAGCCAATCATCTGTGGTATTGACTTCATCAGTGATTAGCCAATCTCAACACTTAAAATAATATTTGGGTCCATAAATGCACCACTAACAAGCAGAAATAAAAAAAAATAAACATTTAAAGTTGAGATTGTTCACTGTAGCAATAACTGATCGTTATAGTTCTTTGAAATAATTCCAAATCACCCAAGATCAATATCAGCAGGTCAGAGATGTGCTTGAATTGGAAAATTGGTATTGGCCCTTGACGCTAGGATGTGTGCACCAGCCCAGCATTACAAGATGGCTTTCTGTTTTTGTATTTGAGTTTAGATCGTAACAACATCCAGCATGCTGGAGTTCAGTACATCCTGGACTCTGTGGTGGATCAGCTGCTAAAGAACCCAGACCGGAGGTTTATCTATGTTGAGACAGCCTTCTTCTACCGCTGGTGGAAGCAGCAGAGCTCCAGCATGCAGCAAACCGTCAAGCAGCTGGTTGATGAAGGTACGTAACCCCATGCTGAGCTGCTGTTGTTGGCGTTTCAGCACACCTCCGATGATTTGTTCATATTCTAGGTCGGCTGGAGTTTGTGAACGGTGGCTGGTGTATGAGCGACGAGGCCACCACCCACTACAGCGCAGTCATAGACCAGATGACCTTAGGATTGAGGTTCCTCAATGAGACCTTTGGAGTCTGTGGTCGTCCCAGAGTTGCCTGGCACATCGATCCCTTTGGACATGCCCGTGAACACGCCTCCATGTTTGCACAGGTATTTAGACCTTAACAAAATACTTATGCATTACACAAAATAGTACTTTAAAAACAGTAGTGAAAGTAATACATCTGAGTAAGAATTTATACCTGCAACAACCAAATAATGAAACGGAAGTATGGATGTGTTTTTCATTAAGTAAGAATTTTACAGTGAAGTAATCACTAAAGTCAAAGTTCCCAGTCCTGTTGGAAGGAATGTTAATTAAAACAGATTTCCTTCTCAGCTGACTGGTAGAATGTTGGTTTTTGTCTTTTTTTAAAAAGGCCAAAGCAGGACGAAGTTACTGTTTACAATTTGTTTTGTTTCCATACTTCCTGGTTCCAGAGCCAATCATATGTGAGCCCTCAAAGTTTCCAGGTTTTCAACAGAAATGCTGCTTTGCCTTCATTTGTAACTTATTAGCTGGCAAAGAGCAGCAAAGTTGTGGAAAGAGTGTTGACCAGTGAACAGGAGCGACCCAGAAGTTGTTTCCTGTATCACTAAGAAGCTTCAGCATCCTTTGTATCTTTAGAGGCGCCATATAAAAGATTATTTTCTTTCTTTCTTTTGTTTTACTCTAATATTGTGTGAAGCCAGCTAGGGGTTAATGTTGAGCTAAAAGTGAATTAAAACCATATAGTCAACTCTAAAATAATCTCAAACTACTACTCGACATCACAGTGAATATTTTACTTATGAACTTACCGTGTATGACTTGTCTCATTTGTTTTTAAACATTAAAGTAACACTGGGCAGTTTCCTGCTCCTCTGCCCTAATGGTTGGAAGTGGAATTACAACTGTTAACAACCCTTCTGCAGCCTGCTGTAGCTAGTGCTAACAATGAGCTAACACTAACATGAGCTAACTTATACTAAAATAAACCACAAAGTAAAAAGATCCACACTGCCAGACAAAACAGTATTATTTACAAGTCCAGTAGCAACAAAGCCAGGTCACCATCAGTCTGATTTTGTAGCTTCCTTAAGCTCCTTCAAACTAGTGTAGGCCGCTCCGATGTTTACTCTGGTTTTCGCTCTTTGCTTCGCCTCCAGAGACATTACATTCTTACTTTTACTTCAGGCTCCGCAATAATGCCAACAAAAAAGCAAACTTCTTCTTTTTCTTCTTCTTGTTTTTTTATTGATCAGCGAACTGAAAATGCTAACCGCTAGCATTACAGCTAACAGCCATCAAGCGGATAAAGCGCTCCCCTAGGACACCCACTACACAAAACTATCGAGGGTGGTTTTTGGTCAGCTGAGGGCTGCAGAGTGGTGTCAAAAATGAAACTGATCAAGTTTCCAACTCAACAATCAGTGAGCTCAAAGTTAACGTTCTAGCTTAAAGTTTAAAAAAACTACTTTAGCTTTAACTGCAGTACCCAAATGTGACCACAGGAGGTCATTTTCACCTCACACACTATTTTAAAATTCGTGTTGTATTTGAAAGTATTCATATATAATAGAATGTGATTGATACATCTGCATGTATTTGAAGGGCTTTTCCATGAGAAGTGCACAGTTGTTAGCCCCAACATGTTTTTTCAGATGGGATTCGACGGCTTCTTCTTTGGCCGTGTGGACTACCAAGACCGTGCCCGCAGGATGAAGGACAAGGAGCAGGAGCTTCTCTGGCGAGCCTCCAGCAGCCTCACTCCACCGATGGCTGACCTCTTCACTGGTAACTAAATCATCTTCGGGGTGTTTTTCTGTGATGGATCGCTTGACAACCTCCTGCAGCAAACTGTGAAAAAACCTTCAACAGGAATCCTGCCCAACGGGTACAACCCCCCTGACGGATTCTGCTGGGACCAGCTCTGCGATGACGCACCCATCAGAGACGACCCAGATCTGGAGGATTATAACGTTGACGACGTGGTGACGCGTTTCCTCAAAGCTGCAAACACTCAGGTTTGTTTTAAAGAAATTCCAACCCTGATACTCTAATAAAACATGCGCCTTGTGTGTTCTGTTACATTATCTCCCTCTTCACTCAGGCGTTGGCGTATAAAACCAATCACATCATCATGACCATGGGCTCAGATTTCCAATATGAGAATGCTAATCTGTGGTACAAGAACCTGGACAAACTGATCCTCTACGTCAATGCGAATCAGTCGAGCGGGAGCAAAGTCAACCTGCTTTATTCGACTCCATCATGCTACCTCCAGGAGCTGCACCGAGCAAACCTCACGTGGTACCGGAGCTGTAGCCAGAAAATTATCAGGAAGAAAAGTGTTCATTTTCTCACCTCACTGTCACATTTCTGTGTCAAGGCCTTTGAAGGAAGATGATTTCTTCCCTTACGCCGACGCCGCTCATGATTTCTGGACGGGCTACTTTACGAGTCGCCCGGCACTGAAACGTTACGAGAGGATCAGCAACAGCAACCTGCAGGTATCGGAGCTTCATTCACCTGTTTACCCAGGAATCCACGTTCCTTGTGAGAAGAAGAACCAAGGAAACACAAACATCTATTATCTGTATTTAACAGACGTGTAACCAGCTGGAGGTTCTGGGCGGTCCAGCTTCCAGGAAGGGACCGTTTGGAGCGGGTGACAGCCAGACTCTGAGTGAGATTTTGGGTTGTTTGTTTTTTTTTTTTACTTGACTGTTGGTGACTGGTTTCTGTGTTTTCACATCGCTGCTGCACTGATGTCAGTAACCCCGGCTTTCCACCAGAGCCGTCAGCAGCGCGAGTCGGCCGCGTCTCAGGAGCAGCATGTCGCGGCCTTTACGCGCCGGTTCTATTTTCTACACGCGACGCCTCTGAAACGGGTCAAGTTCGACATTTTTGGGGAAGGAAAGACAGGAAATCTGACGCGGAAATGGAGAGAAGCTCCCGAGATTTTCAGAATAAAGAACGTACTGCCTTCCGGTTGCTTTCGTTTTAAAAACAGCTACTAACTGTGCGTCCCCGTGAGAAGTTATCACCTAGCTAGCGGTCTCCTTTGTTTGTCAGGTCCGTATTGGCGATTATAACACGGACAGAACATAAAACACAAACCATGTTGTAGTTTTCTCCTGCTTGTTGTTGTGTTTACTGACGAAGTCACTCGTGTGACTTCGTGCTCGGTCGGTGACAGCTGCTCCCCTGATGCTTCGCGTCTCGTGGGAAGGGCCAAGCAGCAGCTTACGCGAGCAAGACGTGCTGCTGCAGTAACGTGCTGCTGACGGCTCCCGTGGAAAGCCGGGGTAAGCCTCCTAACCAGACACTGATGAACAGCTGCGTGCTGATTGGCAGGTAAAGCCATGGCCGTGGCTCAGCACCACGACGCCGTGTCGGGCACAGAGAAACAACATGTTGCTAACGACTACGCCAAGAGGCTAGCTGAAGGATGGCAACACTGTCAGGTACTTCAGAATCCACTAATCTCCACATTTTAGCCACTGTCTGAAACGTGTGTGTTTACGTATATTTACACTGAATGTGAGAATTGTCTTCTACTCCTATTTTCTGCATCGTCCCCTGATAGAAAATGGCAACACAGATGTACGTCACACTGTGAGAATAGCATTGATGGACTCGCCTTTGTGTGCGATCGCCGAAGGCTGTGGTTGATGTAGCAGTCAGGAAAGAGCAGAGCACGTCTTGGCTAGTAGGAGCTAACGGTTAGCGTTAGCAACTCCACAACCTGACAGAGCTCCTTTTAGGTGTGTGTTATTTGTGGAGATAAAATGTAAATGTTGCATGTTTTAACTAAGGCAGTGGAAGAGTCATGCTGTTAGCCAATCAGAGGCTAGATATTTCCACATCATGAATATTAATGAGCAAGACTCCAAATCCTTCTATTTCCTGAATAAGGAGCACCAGAGTTTTCCACAGGAAACATCTGACAAGGCGTCCACTCGTAGCAGAGACCAGAGCAGATTCATGGATAAAATGAGTGTTTGACTCCTTCAAATGTCTCCACAGAGTTTGGTTTGGTTGATGCAGCTTGTTGTATCTGGTGTTTGTCAGGTTCTGGTCAGTAACAGTCTGGCTTCTCTCCGTGGTTCCTCGGCTGAAATAATCTACTGTGACAACCTCAACATCAGCGTGTGTCCTCTCACAGAGGCCAGCAAAAAGGTGAGGCACAACGCCGAAGTAAAACGCCACGCCATCTTGGAGATGAACTAGTTTGATGCTTTTATGATCATATATGGTGAACCGGTCTTTTTTAAAAGAACACCTTTCTGTTTTGTGAGTGTAGCGGCATTTTAGCCTCAGCGTTGTTTTGTTTCCCTCAGTTCTCCGTTGGTGTGTACAACCCTCTGGCTCATCCGGTCACTTGGCCCGTCCGGCTGCCCGTCAACGGAACAGCGTACGGTGTAACTGATGCTACGGGCAAACCTGTGGACTCTCAGGTCTGTGTGCTGCCCAGATTCATTTCCATTCGCAGGTTTGTGACAGCTGCATTAGCAAAGCGCGGTGACATGAAACGGTTTGTCTCTGAAGGTGTTTCCAGTGTCCAGATCCACTCAGGACGTCAGGAGGAACCGCGGCTTCGCTCGGAACGAGCTGGTGTTCCAGGTTCAGGCTCCTCCTCTTGGATTCAGCACGTACTTTGTGTCGCTGACTCAGGATCAGCCGCCGCCGCCGTCCTCCCCTCAGCGCGGCGCCCCCCCAGTCATCCAAAACAAGGTCCGGATGCTTTATCATCATCTTCATGAAAATGGAGAGGAATAGACTTTTTTTTTTTTACATTGTGACAAATTTTCTTCAAAAAACAAAACAATTTCTCTGCTGCAGTACCTACAAGTGACCTTTGACCCTGACACCGGTCTCTTAAGTGGACTCAGCAACCTGGAAACCAAACAGACCATAAAACTGACACAGAATTTCTACTGGTTAGTTTGTTTTTTCTTACAAACTCAGATCTATAACACGGGTGGAGAGTTTTGATCTAAAGCCTGCAAATCTTTCAGGTACAACTCCAGCAGGGGTAACAACGCGGAGAGCAAACAGCCTTCTGGAGCCTACATCTTCAGACCAAACTCCTCCACACCTTTAGTTGTCAGCAAGACCGCCAAAGTGCAGAGCTTCCAGGTAAAACAGCATTTTTTACTAAATGCTGCAATCGTGAAAACTGTGTTTTTTTTTTTGTTTTAAATCTCACTTCCTGTTTCATCAGAGCTCAGTCGTGCAGGAGGTGAGGCAGCGGTTTTCTCCCTGGGTGTCTCAGGTGGTTCGTCTCTACGCTGACAGCAAAGCTCTGGAGCTGGAGTGGACAGTTGGACCCGTCCCCATTAAGTGAGCTTCTCACCAAGGAGGATCCATGAGAAGTTTTACTGTCAGATGTTTGTCCTGTTGGCTGTTCAGGTGTTAAAAAGGAAACACTAATGGTCTCTCTGTTAGTGACTGGCAGGGGAAGGAGGTGATCACACGTCTGGACACCAGCATTAAAACCTCCCAGTTATTCTACACGGACTCTAACGGCAGAGAAGTGCTGCAGAGGAGGTGAGGAGATGATGTGCTTCAGATCATCTCCGCTTCATCTGATGGATGAAACGAGCTCAAGTTATCAGTGAAACCGCGTTGAGGAAATGAGCTGAACGGCTTCATGTTGGACATCAGACAACCGCGCGTGTGCGTGTGTGTGTGTGTGTGTGTGTGTGTGTGCGTGTGTGTGTGTGTGTGTGTGTGTGTGTGTGTGTGTGTGTGTGTGTGTGTGTGTGTGTGTGTGTGTGTGTGTGTGTGTGTGTGTGTGTGTGTGTGTGTCAACAGGAAAGACTTCCGGCCTACATGGGAGCTGAAACAAACGGAGCCCATCGCTGGAAACTATTATCCCATCAACTCTCGAGCATTTTTAAAGGTTTGTGGAATTTTTAGTGAGTTTCCATTTGAACACAATTAAATTTGTGTTTCTAACTTTGAGATTATATTATTGAACCTAAGTTTTGGCTTTCTTCCAAATATTAAAAAAAGAGTGTGTGTGTGTTTGTTCGTTCAGGACGACGAGGACCAGCTCACAGTGGTGACGGATCGCTCACAAGGAGGCAGCAGCTTACAGAACGGCTCTCTGGAGATCATGGTCAGATAAAAATGAGTGGATTTTTTCTGAAATCAACATCATTTGCAGATCGTTTCGAACAAGTGGGGAATTTAATCTTTCTCCCTCTCAGCTTCACCGCCGGCTGTTGTTTGACGATTATCGTGGTGTCGACGAAGCTCTCAATGAGGCTTCTGAAATCTTCCCGGACGGGTTGGTGGTCCGCGGCCGCCTCTTCCTTACTCTCGATCATCCAGCCAGCGCTGCAGACACACACCGGCCTCTGGCCCAGCAGGTCGTGCTGCAGCCGCTGCTGACATTTACCGATGGAGACCTGAGCCCAGAGACTCAGCTGGAGGTGAGTGAAGGGCGTTTGTCGTCTCTTAGACATAACCTCAGGGCAATCCTGGTGTCATGGTTTCACATTTAGGTGTTTTTTTTTATTAGTTTTCAGGGCTGCAGGCTGCGCTGCCGTCTGCCGTCCACCTCCTGACTCTCAGCCAGTGGGACAAAGACTCCGTCCTGCTGAGACTGGAGCATCAGTTCCAGAGCGATGAGAGCCAAGTGAACTCCAGACCCGTCACAGTCAACCTCCAGGTCAGTTAGGATCAAGAAACAACTGCGACTTTTTAATTTCTCCGATATAAGTAATGATCTGGTTAATGAAAAACACATTTGCATATTTATCTGTAACATGTCTGCATCTTTTCCACCGGTGCAGAAGCTGTTTTCCACTCTGGATGTTCTGGGAGTTTCTGAGCTGAACTTGTCAGCCAATCAGTGGAAAGATGAGATGAAGCGTTTTGAATGGTCCCCTCAAAAAGGTACGGTACACACTTGAATTAGTACTCTGAGTACTGATGTAGTATTTGTCCTTCTGAATAAACTTTTAAGTGCAGCTTCAGCTGTCTGCACAGATCAGAAGATCCATTTAAGCAGTTTTAAATTCATATATGGTTGTTTTTATTTGAATATTACTGGAAAACTCTCCAGCTCTTGTCTCTCACCTTTAAGAGAAGGGTAGCCTCAGAAGTGAATGTTTAGGTGGGACCAGTAGTTCTGGGGTTTGAAGAGAAGGTGAACACAGAAATGTGGGATTAGTAGAAGTGGAGCGGCTCCTTTGTGGTTCCAGTTGCTGTTTCTTTGTTTGGTTTGTTCCGATGCTTTCATAATACTCACGAGCTCCACTGGTTTTGTTTTTCAGAAGAGAAACTGATGCTGAAGGAGTTCGAGGACCCTTCAGTTACCGAGGTGACCTTGAGACCAATGGAGATCCGAACTTTCTTACTCCGAGTCAGCCGCAGATAAACGTTGCTGATGAGACTAATCTGCACTCGAGCCATCTTCTCTGGTGTGATCACAGCCATGAGCTGGTTTTTAAATTAGATAACACTTTTTTAATTATTCGGTTTTAAAACCACAAATTCTGTAAGATTCCTGAGTTTTATATATTTTTAATTGTTAAAATGGTTGTGGTGTAGCCACGCCTCCTCCCAGTTTCCCCAATTATAAAAAAACATGAAGCGGCTAGGAAACGTTTACTGCAGCAAAACCCCAAACGACCGAACCCTTTCAGCTCAGACTGTTAACAAGCTCACGTGTTCTGAACAAGCATCAAAAGAATTTTTATATCATTTTGGGAGCGTTTTTATCTTTTCAGCATGATTCTAGGTTTTAATACCATGAACTGGTATTTTTGCTCAGGGATTTCTCTGCTGGACACCAGCTGTGGCTTCAGCGAGAGAATGTACTGTTATGAATCAGCAATGACACGAGGCAGTACATAAACCTGAAACACCATTTAGTTTGGGTTCCTAATACTTCCACTCACTATGAAGCGCCGAGTCACCTAAAGAACAAACACGGGTCCGTGTTTAAATCTGTTCTTCTGTGTTTGCCCTTTTTAAATGCTTGTTTTCTACTTATAAAAAACTGACATTTTGGTCTTCTGCCAACAGAAAATCCTGTTTTTTCTTACTAAATGGTGCCAATTTGTACCATCTGTGCAATAAAGAGCTATTTCAGATATTTTTAATGCTTATTTGTACTATGGAAAAAATTCACAATCTGATAAAGATCCATCATTCTCACTTTTTGTGCATGTTTGCTAGCCCACACCAGTCAGACACGGGGATTTATTTTCCTGTATGTTTATACCTGCACTGTAGGGATTCAGCAGCTACAGCAACTGAACATAATCTAAAAAATAAGTATTTGAAATTATAACTCTATAATTCATGTTCAAAAAGCAAAACTGGCTGCATAAAATAAGCCTGTCGGTCGACCGAGACCAAAAGCAAAACAAATCAATTGTTTGCTTTCTCTTCGCATGTCTGATCCGCATCATGAGAGTAGCAGCATTCGTCTCCGTGAGTGCACATTCCCTAAAGAGGAAAAAAACAAAAGAATAGTTGCGGTTTCCATTTCAGACACAATAAAGCAGTCAAGATGGAAACAAATATTGTTTTAAAAGAATAAAAATATCTTGAGTGCTGCTGATGCGTGTGGAGAGGGCTGCTTGGATGTTTGGTCAAGTCTGACCTGTTTGAACTTTTTGCAGGGAAAGTTCTTCAGCTGAGACGAGTCCGTGACCTGGTTCTTTCTTTTGTTCTGACACTTCTTCCTCTTGTCCTGCAGGTGTGTAGTGATCCCACCTCTGAGGAGAGACCACAGGTTAAAAAGGGAAAAGTAAATAAAAGAAATTAGTCAAAAAGTAAAAATAAGACTATAAACATTTGTTTAAACTTGAGGAAATAAATGTTGAGCCGCAGTTATTTGTCGTGTTAAACATAAATGTTTAATTTACGGAGTCATGAAAATCCTGTGAAACTACACAACGTGTGTGTGTGTGTGTGTGTGTGTGTGTGTGTGTGTGTGTGTGTGTGTGTGTGTGTGTGTGTGTGTGTGTGTGTGTGTGTGTGTGTGTGTGTGTGTGTGTGTGTGTGTGTGTGTGTGTGTGTGTGTGTGTGTGTGTGTGTGTGTGTGTGTGTGTGTGTGTGTGTGTGTGTGTGTGTGTGTGTGTGTGTGTGTGTGTGTGTGTGTGTGTGTGTGTGTGTGTGTGTGTGTGTGTGTGTGTGTGTGTGTGTGTGTGTGTGTGTGTGTGTGTGTGTGTGTGTGTGTGTGTGTGTGTGTGTGTGTGTGTGTGTTTACCCTGCTTTGGCACGAGCTTTGGGTCCCCAGAAGGCCTGAGGATTCTCCTGGAACCGAGTCAGATGGCGTTTACGAGACTGAGGGTTGGCGTCCTCCCTCACAGTGAAACAGGCCTCTAAGCTAAGACCAAACACACACACACAGATTGAGTGTATTTTAAAGAGTAAAACACAACTGTTACTGTTTAGATCAGGTGCAATGAAGCTAACCGTCTCACCGGGGCTCGGTGGACAGGATTCTGAACGCTGGACTAGTCTGAGACAGCTTCTCTCTCTTCACCGGGTTTTCTTTCTCCTACGACGGACCAGAAAGCAAAAAAACACTCTCCTTACGCCGAACAGCTGATTTCTGACTTAGCTTCAACTGTTCTATTTGTCTAGTGTAATATTTACCCAACATCTCATGATGTCCCAGATGGCTGCAGGAGGAGCATCTGTTTTTATGGCATTTTTACAGGCATGAGAGAGAGAAACTCTGTGGCCAGCGTGGAGGAGAGCAGATCTGCAAACGGAAACAAGAACAGATCATTTGCAGAGACGGGTTAGGATTCTGACACATTTTGTAAAATAGAGTTGCCATTAAAAAAATTCTCAGTGTATGATCAACATAAGGTATTAGGAATAATGCAAGGCTTGTTATTTACTAGCAAGTTTTACAGTTAAAAACTACACGTCTGGGTAAACCGGAACTTGACAAAGGTACAGACTGCATAAAAAATATGTGCCTCTCTGTGCTAAATTAGAAATAATTACTCCTCTACCTGTTGTACAGAGCTTCCTGAATGTGACTGATGAGCTAGCAGTTAGTAAAGGTGCTGCCAAGTCTACTGCTGTAGTCTTAAACCAGATTCCACACGGACAATGCAACAATATTTTATAAACCTTTGTGTCACGGTGGATTTCACATAATTTAATTCTAAACAACGATCAATCCTAGAGGGAAGCTAAACATAATAACCATGATCAATAACCATAAACATGGTTATTTCAGCAGAATTCAGGGTAATAAAATCTAGTGATATTGCAAACACTTCAATTTCAAACGCTTCATTATTGATCGGTTGATTTTGGAGCCTGAAATGGGCTCTGGGAGAAATCTGATATAGGCATAAGCAAGTGACAAATAATGTGGATAGCCCTGTATGACATAAACCCCGTTTCCCAGAACAGAGGCTGTTCAGGACTTCATTTACAAAACAGTTTTTACACAGAAACCAGACAAGTTGAAGCCCCATGTACCTAAACTGGAGCAGAGGAGGCGTGTTACAGTGTAATGTGCTGGTCAGATTGTCCACTGTGTAATAGAGGGGCACGTCTTCCAACTCCTGAAACAAAAAATAGCACAAATGCATTCCATTACATCTACTTATCACATTCATGTCAAATATGAGAAGATATGTAGGTAAAATACCTCAGTGACCATGCTGAGCATCCCCTCGATACGTTTGGAAGTCCCAAATCTGGACGGGTTCCCCGACACGGCAGATAAAACCTTCTGAACGAACTCCTGGTCATGAATGGGCTCAGCCCAGATTGGACCACCCAGCTACAGAAAGAACATACACACTTATACACACCAGTAACCACACACATGCTGAGAAGACGGATTCTGGCTGCTCAAAATGAAATTAGAATGTAATGAGATTGTTTTAGACGTGCAACTACAACATCTAATGAAGCTCGGTGGTGTGTTGGTTTTATCTCAGTAAGACCTGGTGTCTCTGTCCACACTGTTCACACTCAGGTCCAACCGGGGGTCCCGTGGCAGCAGAATACTTCATACTGAAATCACACAAGAAGATGTGGAACACTTGTGTCATCATCACATAAAAGCCCCATTATGGCCCAGCTGCAGTGAGAGTGAACCTACTGTTTGCCGTTATCTATTCTTCTGCCCATCCTCTGCAGGTGGAAGGACCCACAACCGACACAGTTGTACACCAGAGCCTGCTTACTGCAACACATCAGGTAAAGATTTGGTATTCTTACGCTTTGGTCAAGTTTTGTCATGAAAGAAGACCTAGAACTATTTTAACTATTGGAAACTGTTCTAGTTCCTTTAAATGGCATATGGTCATGAGCTTTGGGTAATGACCGAAAGAACGAGATCGCGGACACAAGCGGCCGAAATGAGTTTCCTCCGTAGGGTGGCCGGGCTCAGCCTTAGAGATAGGGTGAGGAGCTCGGACATTTGGGAGGGACTCGGAGTAGAACCGCTGCTCCTCCGGATCGAAAGGAGCCAGTTGAGGTGGTTTGGGCATCTGGTCAGGATGCCTCCTGGACGCCTCCCTGGGGAGGTGTTTCGGGCATGTCCTGCCGGCAGGAGGCCCCCGGGTCAACCCAGGACACGTTGGAGAGGTTACATCTCCAATCTGGTCCGGGAACGCCTTGGGGTCCTGCCGGAGGAGCTGGTGGAGGTGGCCGGGGAGAGGACGGCCTGGAGCTCCCTAGTTGGGATGCTGCCCCCGCGACCCGGACCCAGATAAGCGGAGGAAGACGAAGACGAAGCATATGGTAAATGGTAAAAATGGTAAATGGCCTGTATTTGATATAGCGCCTTCTAGAGTCCTGGAACCCCCCAAGGCGCTTTACAACACAATCAGTCATTCACCCATTCACACACACATTCACACACTTGTGGGGATGAGCTACGATGTAGCCACAGCTGCCCTGGGGCGCACTGACAGAGGCGAGGCTGCGGAGCACTGGCGCCACTGGTCCCTCCGACCACCACCAGCAGGCAACATGGGTTAAGTGTCTTGCCCAAGGACACAACGACAGCGACAGACTGAGCGGGGACCTGCAACCTTCCGATTACGGGGCGAGCACTTAACTCCTGTGCCACCGTTGCCCCATATGAAGCAACGCTAGCAGTAGCTTGGGCTAGCGTTACCAGTAGCGGTCAAGCATCGGCAGTAGCTCTAGCTAGCATTACTAGGTGCTTGGGCTAGCATTTACAATAGCTTAGGCTAGTTTTAGCAGTAGCTTGGGCTAGCACTACCAGTAGCTTGGGCTAGCAGTAGCAGTAGCTTTGGCTGGCATTTCCAGTAGCTTAGGTTAGTGTTAGCAGTAGCTTGGGCTGGCATTACCAGTAGTAGCTTAGGCTAGTGTTAGCAATAGCTTTGGCTGGCATTTCCAGTAGCTTAGGCTAGTGTCAGCAGTAGCTTGGGTTAGCATTACCAGTAGTAGCATAGGCTAGTGTTAGCAGTAGCTTTGGCTGGCATTACCAGTAGCTTGGGCTAGCAGTAGCAGTAGCTTTGGCTGGCATTTCCAGTAGCTTAGGCAGGTGTTAGCAGTAGCTTGGGTTAGCATTACCAGTAGTAGCATAGGCTAGTGTTAGCAGTAGCTTTGGCTGGCATTTCCAGTAGCTTAGGTTAGTGTTAGCAGTAGCTTGGGCTGGCATTACCAGTAGTAGCTTAGGCTAGTGTTAGCAGTAGCTTTGGCTGGCATTTCCAGTAGCTTAGGCTAGTGTCAGCAGTAGCTCAACCAACCTTTCTGTGGTTAGCATTTCTGTGATTAATGGTTATATATTACAGATGTAGAAGTTGGTAGCTGTAGCTCAGACTAGCATTGCCAGTAGCTTGGACTAGCGTTAGCATTAGCAAATGTAAGGTTGGTGGGTCTAAGCTTATGACGTGTTTAACCAGCATTTCTCCGTGACCTTTATAGTGTTAATAACAGCCTTTTGGTATGCTACATTAGACACTCCAAACTGCCCATATTCAACAACGAGGTAAATGTGGTTTTGAATTCTAAGACACCTTTCAATTTAAATTTTCGCTCATTTAAAGTTGTAGCCTAGTTCTGCTGCTGGTGACTTTGTTTCAGCGGTGACCCAGTTTCAGGATCGTTCATCATAGAGTTTATCGGCCTTTGATAGGACAGTTCGTGCGTGTGTAAATACCTGGCAGAGTTTTTGACTGTAGCCTGCCCTGTGAAGACACGAACAAAGACCCGAATGTAAAAGTCGGCGCTGACAGACAGGAGAGGCTGGATGTATCTCTGGTACACGCCAGCCCGCTGATCCAGACTATGGAGGATGATACGAAGAGCCTGAAGAAAAAAACTGTATAAGACACTGAAACAGCAATGCAGGATAACAATCCAGGGATTTGGGCTAAATATGTATTTTATGTGTTTTTCTGTGCATCAGAGCAAAAACCTGGACTTGGTAGAAAACATTCTCTTACCAACACCCAGCTTCAGCTTCAAAGTCACATTCACTTAATGAGCAAGTCACCCCCAAATCAACTTTACTGATAAACTATATAAATGAGTGTCTAATCGTGCTGCAGACACGTGTAGTCAACAGTTTAGCACTTTAGTGCATTTTAGTTAAAATTTTAATTTTCTGCCTAAAACTGTCAGTGTTGTGCCATTTTCAGGTAAAAACTCTGCACTGCATTTGAATTTGAATCTGCCATCGCTAATGGCTAAGACTAGGACATTCGCTGGTACCATATGATGTCACAATGTTGTTGTGAGCCTGTGTGAGTGTATTTGTTAGCGGCTCCGTCCTCTCGGTCTGCTAGGCAACAGCATTTGTTGCATTTTTCAAACAGGAAGTGGGAGTGGAGTAATACTCTGGTAGGGGGTGACTTGCTCTTTAACCTCAGAGGTCTAAATGAAGTTTCTCGTCAACAGTTTTACAGTTGACCTAAACAGAGAGGACCAGATGAGTAATAACACACAAGCGATGCATTCTGATGAAATCTGACTTATCGTACTTCTGCAGTCGGAAGGTGAAATTTCTTCATTGAATGGATCATCGGCACAATGAAATCCAACATAACATAAACTGTAATCTTTGTTTAAAAGCAGTGCCCGGGAGGAAAAGTAGGTCCTTCTTAAATATTGTGCTTGTTAAACCAAACTGGTGTTTAAAATCGTAAACATTTTAAACCAACTGATATCCTGCTAAATATAACTAAATATCAAACTCGATTACTCGGTTATTCAAACGTTCCGACTGGTTCAGGCGCTTTGATGAAGCATCTGGAAGAAATGATGTCATTAAGATCAGCTGCAATGAAAAAAAGCTGTCAACAAAATACAAAAGAGACCTTTGGTACTTTAACTCAGATGAATTTTGAACAAAGCATGGGAAACATTTTATTAAAGCCTCAAAAAATCATCTTGTGGATAAAATATATACAGCTTTAGCTCAAGAGGAGCTTAAATGTTAAATGTGTCTCTGGACCAACTCAGACTGAAACCTCGAGGATTAAAAACCGCCAGAAGCAGCAAATTCTTCCCCCCCAAACAATCCCAAAGTGATGACTCCAGGAAGAATCTGTGACAACTTTTAGCGTGTCACACTCACACACACACACACACACACACACACACACACACACACACACACACACACACACACACACACACACACACACACACACACACACACACACACACACACACGTGTATGCAACCCTGAACAAATGAGTCCATCTGCTGTGAATGTGAAAAGGAAGACGTGTCTGCACACGATCCACATGTCGGTCGGCTCATGTCTCAGACTGTGTGTGCACTTAGTGCCCTCACCATCTCATGACAGTACTTGGCTTTGATGGAGATGGAGCCGTATTTGCTGTAGCATGTTTCTCCACTGTTTCCTGCCATCACGGCCATGTCTGTACACGTTACACACAACAGACCTGAGAGAGACACCAGCAGACAGTCAGAGGCAGAAAAGAAACCGCTAGACGTGAGGTACAGAAGAAACATCCATTCAGGACTAAAAGAAAAATAATTCAAACAACTGAAGTCATTTTCTTACAGCTGGGATACAACAGCACGAAACAAATAACCAAAAACGTTAACGGGTGTGTTTGCACCTCCAACAAAGGGACACTGTTTTGGTTTCCATGGTTGCGCTGCATCCCTGCAAAACTCCCTGATTATTTTGATCACTAAGAACTAAATATCCAAAATAAGACATTTTTCCCTTTTTAAAGCATGGAATTTTAAAAGATAAAATCCAAACAACTATGTTAGTGTAAAAGAAACATGAATTACGTAGCCATTCAACATGGGTCACAGATTTATATAAAAAAAACTTGTAAAAATTCTCGGATTCAAGTCAAATTTCTCGGTTGTGACTGCAAATACCGGACTCTACAGCTCACAGAAAACCAAATTATAGTTATTTCGGAAAGATAAATGAGAACTTAATTGTTTTTACCCCAAATCTTCCCAATTCAAATGATCAACAGCAAGATAATCCTCAGCACAATTCCTGATGCTTGTATGATCACCGTTTTTACAAAAATAATTAACAACACACATTAAAAATAGGAAAAACTGGTGTTTCAGCTTTATTTTGTAAATATAAATGTGACTTAGAGGTTTTATCTTAGCTAATTTTCCTAATTTATGCAAACAAATGTATACAAACCATTGATGCAAGCCAAAACCACTGTATGTATGTTTTAATGGTACTTTCATTGGTAGCTTTTCAGATTCCTGCTGGGATGCAGAAGTGGGATGATTATCAGGCTGAAACACCCACCTCCTTCACTGACAGCCTGCACAGCAGCATCCAGAAAGGATGCAGGACTACCGTAGGGATCCAAATCGATGACATCATATCGCTCTTTCTTCCCTCGCTTCTCGTACATCAGCATGCTGAGCGGCAAAAACACAAATAAACAGGAGTGATGCAAAAATGCATGCAACTGCTGAAGGAAAGGTGTGATCCCAGATGAGGACTGGAAGGGTGAATAAGGAGCTAATTTTAGGACACTGAATAGGACCCATGGAGTTCAGAGACAATTGTATAAAAGTGAAGTCAACATCAGGTCCTACCTGGCGTCTCTGCAGCTGGCCTGGACCAAGTGGCTGACTCGGTTATACTGAGCGTTTCTCGCGATCAGTGCTGCGGCTTTAGAGGAGAAATCGTTGGCTGTGACACTCTGTAGGCCGGGGACCTCGAGGGCAAAACGCACCGAACGCAAACCAGAAGCTGCAAGGCCCTCCAGGACACGGAGACCGTGCTGAAAACACGAGAGTATAAAGAAATCTTACAGTACTGGAGGTCTAAAGGAGCTGCAGGCTTTACCGTGGTAATAAAACACACTTAGACCGAGTCAGCTGGCGGACAGGAAGTACATCATCACCATGCTGGCTGTTCCACGTGGACACAGTAAGCCAAAAGCTGCTAAAATGACTCCTACACTGTAAAATCTGATTAGTTCCACTTAAAGCAGGTAAACCAATTGCACTTAAAATAATAAGTACATGGGACAAGGTAATTATGTGTTGGAGCTACTAATACTTACAAAGTAAAACGCACTTAAGTACAAGTTATTTTAACAAGTACAACGCATTTAGAAGTTTGCTTACTGCACTAACATTTCTAAGTTTTATATACTTAAGCAGTAGAAAACTGTAAACAAATGTTTAAGCACTCACAACTCACATTTAAGTGCATTTTACTTTGAATGAACTGGTGACTCCAACACCTAATTACCTAGTCGTGTGTCCTCATCTCCAGTGTAGCTCTACATTAAATAAGCTGTTCTGTTACCTTTTACAAAATAAAGCACTTCACATCACTGAGCATTCACATGTATAGGAGTGGTGCAACCATGCTCAAAGCTAAAAACAAATGTGACGATACCCTTCTTCACCACTAGGAGCCAGTAATGTGTAAATTTGAACATTTCTAGAAACAAATACAACCTGTGTGTGTTTTTAGCAGAAGAAAAAAATCAGACCCGACTGACAACACTATAGTTTAAGCTAGCACTTATCAGTCCAGCTTCTGTTTTAAACGATTAACCTTTGACCCCTTTATACAGTCTAGTTTTCACACAAAATAGACACAAACTCCCAAGCAGTTTATTCTTAATCTATGGAGTCTTCTGCAGTTTGACACACCTCACACTTCTCCCCTGCTGTTGCAGTCACGTTGAGCTCTTCTGCCCCAGTTTTCTCCTCAGCCTCGTTAGACTCCTCCGACAGAGACACCAACACCTTCTCCTTTTCTCCGGGCACCACCACCCTCACCCCTCGCTGAGCCAGCAGATCTCTGGCAAACTCAGTGATCACAGCACATCTACAACCAAGAAATAATATCTTGTGAGTACAAATGAAAACAAGGAAGATTTAAATAACGGTTTATTTGCTCCAAATAAGTTCACCAACTGTTAGACCTCGGCCATCCTTAGTGAAATTACACAAATAAGTACCTAATGACAACGCAAACAACACTAGCACCTATTACTATTATTTTATTACCATCTTAAAATTTTCTGTAAAAAATGACTATTAGCAATAATTTTCTTATTTAATTCTTAAGATAATTCCAGGAGCCACAAAGGAGTCCCACCCTCAACTTACAAGATGTACAGATCATGTTAGCAGGTTTCAGATAATGGAGGCAGATTTCACATTTCATAACCGTATTCGACAGAGTGGGCCAGTGGCTGATTACATCACTAATAAAATGTCAACGACGTACAAAATCACAGATTCATAAGTTCAGTAAACACAACGTTACTTCACAGAAGTTTCACTTACGTCAGATCCCTGTTAAACTCCTGGACGGGGTTGTAAAATACCTCATTGGCACTGGGGAACAGGATGGAGGCCTTTCCCTCTCTCACTACAGTCTCTCCAGGTAACAAATCCTCAGAAGCCATTGTCTCCAAGCTGCCAGTTGCATCAGAACTCATCCCTGACGCTGGAGATTCAGCGGGTGTGCATGAAGGGTCGATGGCGGGAACCTCAGGATCCATAGAGCTCCGTCTCCTGTGAGCAGAAGCAATAACACTCCACCGGAAGCTCCGACCGGCTGGATGAGAGCAAGAGGGAAGCAGGCGACAGGAGGAGATGAGGGCTGTGCGCCAGAGCATAAAGGCAAAATCTGGAAAAATACATGTTAAAAACACAACTTAAGGAAAGAAATATTGTTGAAATTACAAACTTTTGTTTTTGAGGTTGCGCACACGCAGGAAGTCAAATAAGTATTATTTTAATTGAACTCCATCACCAGTGTTCTCTACAAAGAAAAGGAGTTCCTAATAAAGATACCGGAGTGCAAAACAACAACAATAATAATAATAACAAAGCAGAATTAACCAAAAATGCAACAAACCCAGTGATCTCCATTACTTTTGTGTACAATACGAAAGCACCCTTATATTTCTTTTTCCTTAATGCAACGTTTAAAAGGTAACTTAATTTGTTAGACATTTCAAGTCTTCATAAAAACGCTTTAATCGTGAGAAATATCTATTTTTTGTAGGCTGATCTGACTCTATATAGTTCATTCTACTCTGTAAATGCAGCTGATAGAATCAGGCCACACCAATGATCTCTTTCATTTAATTTGGTTTTTATTCTAATAACTAAATCGACATTTTTATTACTCATATCGGTGATTGGATTACAAGTGTAACGTGGTTTTAAAATGACAGCTTTAAGGAGGACATGTTCGCCATAAATAAAATGTTAACGTGACAGGAAAGAGAATGTAAAATGAGCTAAGTTTTGACTGGAATATTTCATGTTTCAACCAACAAACACGAGATAAACAGCACACCTACGTGTTTTTAAGCTAGGCTAAACATGCAGCGGTCGCCGTTTTACCTGTGCCACACTTCCACTAGCTGGACACTTCTTCTAGAGAGGAGTTTAAATGTAAAACACCACAAAACGCCTAATGTTGTGACTGAATTCGGTGCTGCGTTCAAATGTAACGCTGGGGTAGTTGCACATTAGTACGCGGAAGCAGCCATGTTTTAAGGTCCTCTACGGAATCCCGCGAGGATCAAAACAAGGTAAACGCAGTTTGTTTTTCCTCCGTTAGCGCCTCCTGTGTAATAAATTATTTAATTATTAAATAAATTATTTAATTTAACAATTTAAGATCACCATTCCAGTAGACAACAAAACATTCTGATAAATATATCTTTTAATATGTTATACATAAAAGTTTATTAATCACAAGTGCCTAGATTTGGCAACCAAAGTTAATTAAGATTAAAATAATTTCTGCCCAAAATGAACTATTGTGTCTTTTTTATGATGAGATAACTGCTTTTAAATAGTTTGAATTAAATAGATTGAAATTTATAGTCATCTTTTATATTATTTTCTTTTTGGATGTTCTAATTGATTCATTGATCTTACACAGAAAATGTCACAGTTTCAAAATAATAGTGATGTGATTAATGAAAATGCTGATTCTCAGGGTAAGTTTTTCAAAATGTGAAATCAGTGCAGTGCAACATCATGTACCCAGTGAATGTCAATTTGCTTTTTCATGCAATGCTGAAATAAAACGACTTGTTGGCAGAAGCTATTTAACCTATGAACCTAATTAGAATAGAATAGAATAGCTTTTTGTTGTCCCTCAGTGGAGAGGTTTTCGTGTCACATAACAAGTAATGAAAAATAAAAGGCTGTACATTAAAGAGCAAGTCCCCCCCCCCCTACCAGAGTATTACTCCACTCCCAGTTCCTGTTTGAAAAATGCAACAAATGCTGTTGCCTAACAGACCGAGAGGGCGGAGCCACTAACAAATGCACACACACACACAGGCTCACTATGACATTGTGACATCATATGGTACCAGCTAAAGTTCTAGGGTACCTCTTAGCCATTATGAGATGGCAGATTTAAATTTAACTGCAGTGCAGAGTTTGTATCTGACAACGGCACAACACTGACAGTTTCAGGCAGAAAATGTTAATTTGAACTAAAATGCACTAAAGTGCAAAACTATTGACTACATGTGTCTGCAGCATGATTAAACACGCATTTATATAGTTTATCAGAAAAAACAATTGATTTGGGAGTGACTTGCTCTTTAATCAAACAACATAAAAGCATATAAATACTCATGCAGAGCTATAAATCCGTTATGCATAACAGATCAAATACATTTGTTTGCACTAATAAATGCTGCTCCATGAGGTCACTGACAAAATATATTTAAATTATTTCCATAATTATGATATATCCATAACTTTTGTAATTAGTGTTAAAATTCCTGATGTTTTGGGATATGTTTCTGAGGCATACGAGGCACCCAAAACTCTTTGGGAGGCCTATAGCTATTGGAGCAATAGGTCCTGTTACTTTTGCATTATTCATTTGATACTATTTTGGATTCATACAGCAAATTATTACTATTTAATTATTATCTAAATATGCACTCTGGAGGCTACACATACCATCAACATTTGAATGAATCAGGTAACATCTCCAGCAGACAGGTTAGGAAGCAATACATCATCGACCACGTCATCAAGATAAAAGCTATTAATAAGTGCGTTGCAGTAAAAAAAACGAACACGAGGAAGTCAAAAGCTCAAACTACTCTGATTGGGTTCTATTTGAATCAGTTCAGTGACAACATCTGACCTCTTTCATAAAACGTTATAAAGAAGTAAAATATCCATTCTTACTTTGATCTCATCACCATCTTTCATCCATTTCTGTGACATGGATGAGCAGTGATCTGCCTCCTCCATGTGTGCCCATACGCACACAAACCTGAACATCTGGATGGGGGCGCTGTGACAATGAATGGCCAGAGTAGCGTAGCGCTATACATCTGACACGGGAGAATTATAGAGTTAATAGTATTTGGCATGACAGGGAGAGGGAGCGCAGCGCCGTGCCTGAGTGCAGTCTCATCCTGCTTGGTATTCACCGTGCGCAGCGCCTGGAGGCCCCGGAGGGCTCACCTGCCCGGAGTCTGGACGCACTAACGCAGAGGACAGCGGGATCGAACCCCCGACCTCGGACTATCGCGGTAATCCTTTGGGGTTGGGCAAGAGGGGAGAGCATCCACGGTCAAAGAGAGGGAGAGAGGGAGGGAGGGAGAGAGAGAGAGAGAGAGAGAGAGAGAGAGAGAGAGAGAGAGAGAGAGAGAGAGGGAGAAAGAGAGAGAGAGAAAGAGAGAGAGAGAGAGAGAAGAGAGAGAGAGAGAGAGAGAGAGAGAGAGAGAGAGAGAGAGAGAGAAGAGGGAGAGAGAGAGAGGGGGGGGGGGGAGAAAGAGAGAGAGAGAAAGAGAGAGCGAGAGAGAGAGAGGGAAAGAGAGAGAGCGAGAGAGAGTGAGAGAGAGAGAGAGAGAGAGAGAGAGAGGGAGAAAGAGAGAGAGAGAAAGAGAGAGCGAGAGAGAGAGAGAGAGAAAGAGAGGGAGAAAGAGAGAGAGAGAGAGGGGAGAGGGAGAGGGAGAGAGAGAAAGAGAGAGAGAGAGAGAGAGAGAGAGAGAGAGAGAGAGAGAGAGAGAGAGAGAGAGAGAGAGAGAGAGAGGAGAGAGAGAGAGAGAGAGAGAGAGAGAGAGAGAGAGAGAGAGAGAGAGAGAGAGAGAGAGAGAGAGAGAGAGAGAGAGAGAGAGAGAGAGAGAGAGAGAGAGAGAGAGAGAGAGAGAGAGAGAGAGAGAGAGAGAGAGAGAGAGAGAGAGAGAGAGAGAGAGGACTGGTGGGTGGGGCTCAGACAGTCGAGTCGGCTGGGGACGTACCTGCTTCCTGGGGTGCGTGGGCTTCAAAAGTAATTTATTTACTTACTTCAGTAATCATTAGTTCTAAATAAGTAATTTCATATTTATTAAACTTTCGTGTGCATGCACACAAATTATATTATTTTTGATAAAACGTGTTTTACTTTTGCTTTTCAGAGAAAAAAATGGATTCTGCTGCCTTTAAAACCTCACAGCCAGTGTTTTTTTATCTTTCACGAAGATAATTTACATTAATATATGACAAGACTATCAGGCAGTATTAATGGGAGGCAGTTAATTCACCTAGACAATTACAGATTATTGATTGATGACAGATAATGCCGACATCCATCCATCAGGCCGATCAGTGGCTCTGTGATCGGTCTGCAACCCCTGGGAGGGTTATAAAAAAACCCGCTCCTGCCCCCCCTCGATAGCTCTGCGCTCCGGTCCTCGCCTGCATGTGTGATTGTGTTCACAGCTTACAGTCACAGTGAATGACTGACTGTCTGTCTGTGGCGAGGCGGAGGGAGGGAGACACTAGACCGCTTCTTCTGCTGCTGCGTCGCTACACTGAGACGATTTCCAGCAGAATCTTACCGAGGGGTGAGTTAAGCGAGGACGGACAACCTGCCGGTGGGACGGGTCGGTCTAATAATTCTTGTCCTGCTTCAGCACGCTGCGTGCGTGTGTGTACAAATATGTGTGTGTGTGTGTGCATGGCAAGTGGAAGATCTCGCAGTGTTTTTCTTGGAAGGGGGTCTCCAGGGTGTTAAAGTTGTGGTGACTGCTGTGGGGGATGGGCACATGAAGAGGGACAGTCCAAACTTTAACCACTTCACACCGGCTTCATACTTTTCATCGTGCTGGCCCCTCTTCTGCTTCGTTTTGAACTTCTTCTTCGTGAGTTTTCATCTAATCTTCCTCCTGCGTTCCCGGACTCCTCCAAAAAAAGCTCCCCTTATCAGCGCGCTGCTTAAAACCGAGTAAGGTTTTTCTTCCTCTCCTCTCGCCATCGTGCCGCGGATCCAAATCTCCGCCTCACACCCCCAGTTGCAGCACATTTGTGTCCCGGAATGACCTGTTGATGTCGGTTAAAGATGGAGAGTACCCTCCGCTTTAAACTCTCTCCGGTAACAACAAATAATGAAGTCCGTTCAAGCTGAGTGTCGCCCGCGTGCCTGGACAGGATCGCTTATTTCATGAAGGTGTTATAAATAATTTATTAAAAGCGACATCTTGGAGAGGAACACCGACCGGTAGCTGCCATTCGACCGGCGGAGGAGGGCGGGCATTCGACACCGACCATACCGTGCTGGTAGGCACGGAGACGGCGAAATGAGCGTTTTGGCTGCTTTAACGTCCCCGTGTTTGTCGGACGACAAAACATCTTTCATGGAAACTGAAGCAACTGACATTTTAAAAAATAGAAGGGAAACGGCTTATTTTTTGTGTCCCTTCTCATTTACCATTCCCCCTCCTCCCCCCTAGCTGAGCACACACCGGCGCGGGCCAAGTCGAGCAACAACTCCCAAATCCTAACCGGGCATCGAGGCTGGCACACCGAGAGCTTTTCGACCGCCCCGACAGCCCTCCTTCACCCGCGGTGGCGGGACCATCCTCTCCCTCCCGAGGAGTCCGCCGGCTAGACATCGACTCCTAGACTTTCATGTGAGATTAGTTGATGTATAATTGATGCGTGTGGATGGAAATTCGCCTTTGAAGTTTCAGCTCTGGTGCTTTTTTTAAGGGAGGCTACGCTGTAGCCACATCGTGGCTCATTGTCTGTCCACGAGAGCCGGCGAATGAAGCATCGTGTCCCGTTTTTAAACGCAAGAGACATTCATTTATTTGATACAAATAAAACTCGTTTCTTACTTTTATTTTTAACTCTGACGTTTTCTTTAAAGATTTTAGCTTTAGCTTTAGCATGCTCTTTGCTAACAGGCCACCTTAAAAGTCCCGAAACCAGGAAACTGAGCAGGCAGTGATGTTTATATAAAAGGATGTTATTCAGATACTTAATAGCTGTTAGTCTGTGCCAACAAGCTGACTGGAATACTCCTTTTGGCATGTGGGTGTTAGCAGGAATATGGTTACTCTGCCTAAAGCAAAGCATCCTTTTTAATACTGAACTGGGAAAAAATGAGAGGATTTTTGCACACACGCACAGATGTAGCCACACGCAGTTGAGCATTAAATCAGAATCAGTGAGGGGGCTTATGTTAACTGCAGGGCAAGGGGTCAAGTGGTTTGAATTAACTCCCCTTTATGATTCTTGGAAGTTTTTTTGACCCTTTTGACCTGCGAGAAGGAAAAGGCGGCGAGTAGGAGGTCTCGGGAGTGACATCAGTGCTCCACAGTGGTGATGAAATAAAATCAGTCATGCTGGGTAGTGCAGTGGAGTATATGTCTTCTTCAATTTTTGCTTTAAGATGAATGAAAATGTGCATTTGTTTTTGAAAATGTCAGAATAACTGCAGACTTTAAAGGTGTGGAACACTGAAAAAAATATTTCTGATTATAATCGGTCTGCCTGAGTTTTTTTTATCCAGGCTGAACATGAAAATAGTCTCCTACACCTATCTCCTGCATTAGCTAGATTTGTAAAGCCTGACAGATCTACCTCACACTGTCACTTAACGTCCATGGACTCACCCATCTTGACTCACAACAGGGAAGGCTGTTTTTGGTTTAGCGTCCAGAAAACCGCTGAGAACGTTTTGACTAGTTGAAGCTAACTGGTAGCATTAGCAATGTCACCACACAGCAGAACTCCTTCAGGCTTGTGTTATTTGTGGAGACAAAACATCAACATTGCTGAGCAAACAGTCAATGATAGAGTTGTGTTGCTGTTATCCAGCCCGAAGTGAGATGTCCAAATATCAGGAAATAAGACTCCAAAGCCTGCCGCCTGAAGCTCAAGGCTCTTTCTCAATACTTACTTCCACCCTTGCGCCCCTCAATTGTGCATTGCCATCCAGGGGCGTAAGAACGTATGGTATGGTGTCCCAATTTTCAAGTGCGGAAGTTGACCACACCCCTTTTTGCACCCTTGATCTGCACTTCGCTGAAGTCCACATTGATGTGGACTTATTTTGAAAGTTGTTAATCAAGTTTTTTTTAAAGCCGTACAAACAGCAACCGGCATCCCAGCATGCATCCCGGTTGATGATACAATTCTCCCTGTCCCAATTTGGCAATTATTTGCAGACTTGTGCACTACGCACTCGAAGCCTTACTACGCACTTCTTGAGGACCGTTGGGTGCAGTGCGAGTATTGGTACTGAGCCCAACTCTGACGTGGCTCACTTCTACTTCCTGAAACTGGTGTACATTATCCTGTTTTTTTATTTTTTTTATTTTTTTAACGAAGGAGTGCAGTGATCTTTAGAAACAGGAGTATTTGCTTAATGGTGCTACTTTGGGGGATATTTGGGAGTTTTGGTGTCGCAAAGCTGGTTCCCTTTATATCTGGGTTGGTTACTATGGCAACTGATGCTGATGTTTCTGTGATCATGATGAGCATTTTATGTTTGTCTATTTTTTATTTTTTTTTACCGGTTTACATTTCAGCTTTGTCTTTCTGAGGATAATGCCACCTCAAGACTGTTGTCAGAAGCAGAACTCTTGAGTTGATTTAGATAGTTGATAACCAGCTCGCCCGGATTCGTAGAGCTGGATCTCCTTAGGACCCAAATGATCCATGTCTGAGAAAAAAAGCATAAATTCTCACCGACTAAATCCAAAGCATAAAGAAAAGGTCACAAGAAGCAGAGAACCCCAGAGCAAATGTTTGGTTCTAGCAATGAGGTGGGGAAATCTGGAACTATTTAAACAGGGAGGACTGCTTATTTACGACAAACAGCTGGGGTGATTGACATATGGGGCACACGTGGAATGCTGAAAACTCTTTGAGCCATCAAATAAAGACAACACAATAAAAAAAGAAACAAAAACCTATAAAAACAAATGTAAAAATCCAAGATCCTGTCATATTTCATCAAATGGGCACCTGGAAATAAAGCTTGCACCAATTAAGCAGTGTATATAGATTTCCTAAATTTAATGCGAGTTGTAAAATATATAGGTTCACGAAATAAGGAGGCAAAAATCTTAGAGATTTTTTTTTTCAAATATACTTGAAATTATTCCCATTTTAATCGTCTAACTTTGATTTTACAGAATCTTCCTTTTAGTTCAGCATAATGGCGTGTCACATTCTGGCTTCCTTTAACAGCTGAAACTCAGGAGTGCCTGTGTGGATAGATAGTAGTAAAAAAATTACCCGTGTTTCAGAATGAAAATAAAGGAAATGTATGAAAAGACAAGGTTTCATCAACCTCCCTTTCTTTCTGGCTGAAGCGTGCTCACATTAATCATAACGAATTAATTACTATAAACTAGGAAATTAATTTAATTAAACACTGATGGGCCTGTGTGCTCGGTGCAGGCCTTACGTAGGCGTAAAACAGCACATCAGAGTGCTTTAGTCCACTTGTTTTTTCTTACTCTAGCATTTATTTTTCAGCTGGGCTTAGGTTTGCTGCGTTTGCATGCCTCACACTCACACCTGGAAGCTTGCCGTCACAAACACTATCTTTAATGTTGGCCACTCTGCAGCTCCTGCTGAAGGAGCTGGGAGGAGAGATCCTACATCTGATGTCCTTGTCAAGTTTTATCACTTGTGGACAACAGTTGATACATGTTACCCATTTTGTCAAACCTAGATAGTAAAAATGTGTCTTTTGTTTGTTTTAAAGATGAATAAAACATGGGTGGTTTATTGTGCTCTCCGCTGATTGTGTGGCTGTGATGAAAGATCACGTATGTTGTATGTTTTATGTTTATTTGGACTGAATTAGTGCTGGTCGATATAGCTTAAAATCAATATCACGATATATTGAGGATTTCACCTCGATAACGATAAATGGACGATAACTACAGGTATGCACAGAAACAAAAAATGTCCACTAGATGGGGCTGTCACGTGTATTATGTTGAGTCACATTTTTGTTTGACTCAAGGAAGTACAGCTTCTTAAAAGGACAAGAATGTTGCCAACCTACACATCTTTTTTCATTTTTTTATTATCAAATTTATTGACATGGGAAAAGTTATCTTGATAAGAGTCAGGAATTTTGATAACTGTGACATTTTGATTTATTGGCCAGCCCTAGACTGAATTAAACTGGATCAACAGAGTTTAATGCATTGCATCATGGCACATTGCTGTAGTGAAACTGGTTGTGTAGAATTTTGAATCTCTGTCTCTATGTGACTCAGATCTGTGAGGCAAATGGTGGCCACACCAGATACTGACTGGTTTTCTGCCCCACCACCCCCATAACGCAAAACTGTGCACATATCAGGGTGTCCTTTTATTGTGGGCAGTCTAAGGCACACCTATACATTATTCATGCTATCTAATCAGCCCCTTGAAAAGCCACACCTATGAGATGGGACGGATTATCTTGGTAAAGGAAAAGTACTCGCACACATGTAGACAGATTTCAGAATGATATTTGAGAGCTATGGATGTTTTGTGCATGTTGACAAATTTTTAAGCTTGATTTATACATCTGTGTCTGCGTCAGTGCGTAGATACGCAACGCCATTATCAGTCGGCGCAAGGGCTCTCCGACGGGCTCACAGAGAGGGATGGAGACATGCTCAAAAATTTAAACATCCGTCGAAAGTTGACGGAAACTGCAAGCTTGTGATTGGCCAGGACGCCGCTTCCTGCATATTCATCACCAGCGCCGCTGTAGCTCCGTTAAAAAGTAAACAGATATTTAGCGGCAGACCCCGAACAGATTGAAGAACGCATCGTGGAAAAAGTCCGAAAAGATTTACATTTATTCACCCGTGAAGGAATACAAAATACGGAGCAAACATGGCCGAGAACGACAGGAAACGTGGGTTTAGAGGAGGTGACCACATGAAGAGTTGGAGGAGAATAAAGGACAAATTTGGCCTCTGAAATATATAAACACATTAGTAAATACGTTATTGTGGACCGGATACACGAGTGTTATGGTGGCAGGTTATCACAGAACAGCGCTACACCCTCTGTTGTCCTGGCAGGGAATTGCTTTGCAACGCTCCGCTGCCTGAACAGAAGTTCAAATGTGAAAACCTTTCCGACACTCCGTGTGCGTCTCTCCGTTGTGAAGCTCACGGAGAATTATAAACCAGGCTTCTGATGTTTGAGTTCAGCTCATGAGAAATGGAAGCAAAAACAAAAGTGTTGCGTATATATTTTTGTTCAGTGTTTAATGATCGCGGGTTGAGACACCTGAATCAGAACGTGAAAACAATATGACTCTGTGGATTTGAAAATAAACAAAGATGGATGTTTCTAGAAACATCTTCTCTAATTAACAGTTAGTCACAAGGACTTACCAGAATCACAACCCGACCGTTGCTGCAGGGGTCCAGGCTCTCTTTGGACAGTCCGGGTCGCTCGCAATCATCTCTTTCATATTTCGCAGTCCTTCTCTTTAAGCCTCCCACGGGCCGAACGATCAATCACACAGATCCATCTGCCTCGCTTAATCCTCCTCCAATTGGGCTACAACACTCCCAGGATTTTTGACCCTGATGGCCATCCGTTGGTAAGGTCTCACTCAAGCACAAAAATACAGCTTGCTTGCTATGATTTAGTTTTATACTGCCCCCTATTGCCAGGAAAATTACACACCGCCACTTTAATAACTCTTATCGGCAGATATACAGAAAATGGTAAACATCGGACCAATACATCAGAATTTTTTCATTTGGACCAGAGTTGCATCTTTTTGACATAAATCTTTAGTTGGCAGCTACAGAGAATGAACCCAACAAACATTGGTCTGATGCCGACGTGGTGTCCACGTCCAAAAATGGTCGTGGTAGGACGTTCCGACTTTGTAAAAAAAAAAAAAAAAAACAGAACGTGTCTTAAAAATCCATTCAGATACATTTGTACATGCCTACAGTTATATGTATAATTGTTATTTTGACATTTAGTTACGTGTAGTTCAATATAGCATCCCAGCTAGGACTGCACGGCATTAGGAAAACCTGCGATATTCGATAACAGTGCTTAATATTGCGATATCGATATTACTCACGATAAATGAACAAATACTAAATTATGCAGTGTTGATGTCGTCTGGCGTGTGACGTCTGCTCTGGGTTCAAAGCAAACAAAACTAATGCATGAATTCCATTACAACATAACATTTTTATTGCAAAAATATGCAGCTGCACCCGCTACTGTATTAGCACCTGCACCCGCTACTGTATTAGCACCTGCACCCGCTACTGTATTAGCAGCTGCACCCGCTACTGTATTAGCACCTGCACCCGCTGCTGTATTAGCAGCTGCACCCGCTACTGTATTAGCAGCTGCACCCGCTGCTGTATTAGCAGCTGCACCCGCTACTGTATTAGCAGCTGCACCCGCTGCTGTATTAGCACCTGCACCCGCTGCTGTATTAGCACCTGCACCCGCTGCTGTATTAGCAGCTGCACCCGCTGCTGTATTAGCACCTGCACCCGCTGCTGTATTAGCAGCTGCACCCGCTGCTGTATTAGCAGCTGCACCCGCTGCTGTATTAGCAGCTGCACCCGCTGCTGTATTAGCAGCTGCACCCGCTGCTGTATTAGCAGCTGCACCCGCTGCTGTATTAGCAGCTGCACCCGCTGCTGTATTAGCAGCTGCACCCGCTGCTGTATTAGCAGCTGCACCCGCTGCTGTATTAGCAGCTGCACCCGCTGCTGTATTAGCAGCTGCACCCGCTGCTGTATTAGCAGCTGCACCCGCTACTGTATTAGCAGCTGCACCCGCTGCTGTATTAGCAGCTGCACCCGCTGCTGTATTAGCAGCTGCACCCGCTGCTGTATTAGCAGCTGCACCCGCTGCTGTATTAGCAGCTGCACCCGCTGCTGTATTAGCAGCTGCACCCGCTGCTGTATTAGCAGCTGCACCCGCTGCTGTATTAGCAGCTGCACCCGCTACTGTATTAGCAGCTGCACCCGCTACTGTATTAGCAGCTGCACCCGCTACTGTATTAGCAGCTGCACCCGCTACTGTATTAGCAGCTGCACCCGCTACTGTATTAGCAGCTGCACCCGCTACTGTATTAGCAGCTACACCCGCTACTGTATTAGCAGCTACACCCGCTACTGTATCAGCAGCTGCACCCGCTACTGTATTAGCAGCTGTACCCGCTACTGTATCAGCAGCTGCACCCGCTACTGTATTAGCAGCTACACCCGCTACTGTATCAGCAGCTGCACCCGCTACTGTATTAGCAGCTGTACCCGCTACTGTATTAGCAGCTACACCCGCTACTGTATTAGCAGCTACACCCGCTACTGTATCAGCAGCTGCACCCGCTACTGTATTAGCAGCTGTACCCGCTACTGTATTAGCAGCTGTACCCGCTGCTGTATCAGCAGCTGCACCCGCTACTGTATTAGCAGCTGTACCCGCTGCTGTATTGCTGCTGTATTAGCAGCTGCACCCGCTACTGTATTAGCAGCTGCACCCGCTACTGTATTAGCAGCAAAACAACAAACTGCATGCATGCAGTTTCTCAGTGACTTTAAATCATCACCTCCACCATAAAACTTTTTCTGATGCTCCAAATACAGAAAAACATCCCTTACCAGCGTTTTTTTTGAATAAATAAAAATATCAGAAAGTAAGTTTAAATGATAAATAATAGTTAACATCACTTAAATGCAACAGCAAATTCTCTCATTGCTACTGAGCATTTTCTCCACTTATATGGTTATGATATAAGGCTGTTGCTGTAACTGGGAAGTGAACTGTGCTGGGCCAAACTAGGAGAACATTAAGATTTTCTGAGGGAAAGAGAAAAACAATTGTCTACCTTTCAGAAGAGGAACTGGCAAAAAAAACTACATGGAAAACATGTGAAAACGTTTGTTTTTAACCCCAAATTGAACAAGTTTACCTAGATCCTAAAAAGCAGCTCAGATGATGAAACTGCAACTATGATTCTGATAACAAGCTAACAAACTGAACTATTTCCTCTTAAGATAAGCGGCTAGCAGCTTCTGACTGAGTTTATGTGCAGCAGCAAATCAACTATCCTGATTAACAAGGTTATAAAAGCTCATAACTGAAAAATCACTTTGATGTGTGGGGGAACTTTTCCAGGCCCTCTTTAGCAGCTCAGGGTGGGACTGGGAGGAGAGTGCTGCTGTAGCCTTTTAGCTGGAAGCTAACCGGAGCCTGGGGCTAACGGTGGGTTGGTTCACCGGCACGTGTCGGAGTCAGCCCGGTAAAAATGATTAACGATACCGAGCGGACTCACGTTCACGTTTGAAAGCAGCGCTGATTCCAGAAACATCGGCACAAAGTGCGTTAGTTAATCTGAGCCAGCATGACGAACAAGCGAGCGGCAGCGGAAAGCGGGGGCGGAGCGAAGATAGGGGAATTTTGGGGTAAGGGTCTACGTAGGGGGCGGGTGTATTACGTGAACGGACCCATCTGATTGGACGCATATCAGAAAGGCTACATTTGATTGGTCAAATAATACTTCCGCGTAAAAAACAGAGCTGGTTTACAAAAAGTTGATGTATGACACGGATGGAAATGTTTGAACCAAACATTTATCGCCATTTTTGACGTGCTTTGCGATGGGCCTATCGCACGTCCTGTTATCGCGATGAAGATAATTTTTCGATATATTGTGCATCCCTAATCCCAGCAAATATTGGCCCGACGGCAATGTGGTGTCCACGGTCAAAAATGGTCGTGGTAGGACGGTCCAAATAAAAAAAAATTTTTAACATAACATTTCCTAAAAATCCACTCAGATTTGTGGTAAACGTAATTTCTGGACTGTAGAGCGCACCTCAATATAAGCCGCACCGGGCTAAAAGCCACAGATATCTACTGAATTGAAAACGTAGTTTAACTGCAGTGTTGGGCAAGTTACTTCAAAACTGTAATGCATTATTTATTACTTGTTACCCTCATTTTAATGTAATTGATTACATTATAATATCACTGATTTTAAAATGTAAGGCATTACACTACTTTTGCATTACTTTAAGTTACTTTTACCAAAACAATTTCAATATGAATTAGGTCACGTGATGCTCAGTGAACTCATGACACATCCAGAGGAAGGTGATGTGGTGTCTGAGCATTGCTGTTAAAAACAGTCAGATATAATAACAGTTCCTTATTAAATAAATGCAGCAACAAACTGTACTCTCAGCACGCCGCCACCTTAGATTAACTGAGAAGGATGTGAGGTGGTGGGGGCTCCAAGCCTATTTTGCCTTGGTCCCCAAATGCCTTGATACGGCCCTGGATGTGGGACTGACTTCTGGGGTGATCTGATTCTATCACATGTATAAATATTAAATGCTTATAGATTATTGCTTTTCACTGGTAAAAATGTGTATTGGGGATAAATCTACCTACTTATATTTTCTTTTCAAGCACTTTGTTTTGTTTTCTTGATTTATTTGAATAATTTCCGGCCCTTTCTCTCCCTAACCTTCCTGCATGCTGCATGTTTTCACCGTCTTCCAGAAAAACTGTTTCCTAGATTCCCTACTTTCTAACCAATCAGCCAAAGGGATCTACCGAACGCAAAAAAAGCTTAATATGCGCTGCGCTCCAGCAGCAATGAGTTGAAATCAGCGGGCGAGGGCACAGATTATGAACTCAGCTGAGGCAAAGCACTAGGGCTGTCGCGGTTGAGGAATTCCCCCTGCGGTGATTCAGGGTGGCTTAATATTGCGGTGTGCGATATTATTGCAGTCCTTTTTTTATTGCAGTACTATCTAAACATAATGTTTACACATTTAAAAAAGGTTAAAAATTGCCGTGCCTTCTTTTATAACGCTTTACTGAATGCAGATCAAAGGGCAGTAACAACACAGATCGCAGTAACGTTCGTTTCTCCGACAGTCGGAGTCCGACTGAACTTAAAAACAACAAAATTCAGGAGAAGGTTAAACTTTTAAATGCAAATTTGGCTGCAGCATCTAACAAATAAGAAACAAGTCCCCATTTTGTTTAGTTGTTTAGAAACAAGCATAAAAAATTACATGTACCGGGCGCGCGCGCGCCGGGGGGCGGGCGCACTATCATTTCACTTTCACACACACGAATGACGGTGATTTATAGCTCGGTCACGTCCTTGTTACCTACAAGGAAAACCAGCATGTTAACCATATACGGTTTGAGAGAGGATCTGAGAGGGGTGGCAACATTTGCAGCAACACTGAAAACCCTCTCGGAGGTGCGCTCGTTACACTTACCCCAAATTCCACTACCTCCGCTCCCCTCCGCTCCGGTCCGGCCCCGCTCGCTTCCGAACTCAACTTGCGTGCGACTCTGGCGAGCAAAGGGAATCTCTCCCGGTTGTTGCTCCACCATGTCAGGGGGGTTCTTTAGGGTGGATGCATTCCACCTGCAGGTAGCGAGTGAGCTCCAGCTCGGCTCAAACTCTCTTCGGGACGGTTGCAGAAGCAGTGCTTGTCCGGGACTTCAGCAGGTCTCCGAGCGTTTATTATTTATTTATTTTTTGCCGCTGGTGGCAGCTCTGTCTCGGCCAAGGACTCTGGCTGCGCAGCAGCTGACGTACTGAAAACCAAAGCGCTCCCACAGGAGCGAAGTAACGTTTCGTTTTGATACCAGTGCAGCCATCCTTCTCAACATGCATCATTGAGTTGAACCAAGTTCAGTAATCGCGGTGGCCCATGATGCAGCGCGGTGGGCTTCTTCATATCGCGATATTTCATTTTTGCGGTTACCGCGACAGCCCTACAAAGCACGTCAGAAAAGTACAGAAAGTACAGAGAATATGGGCTGATATGAACGATCGCAAGTGAATTATTTTGTTTAGGTGGAGCGGTTTTGTGAATATAACAGCGGCCGCGCGCAGGACGCAGCTGGAGGATTTGAGCCGTCACCGCTGCGTCCTCTCTGCTCATAGAATGCCTGCAAAGCTGAGTCCATAAATGACGTCATATATGTAGATACCGGATCTTTATTTTGGGCTTTCCGCAATTTTAATTTTTAAGAAACCCACATCCTGATTCTGGGTTTAAAAATGCGTTGTAATTACTACGTTACTGACACTTGTACCGAGTAAATATTACCATTTTCTTTCCCTGTAATGCCTTACGTTACCACATTACAACAAAAAGCAATGCATTACAGTAATTAATTACTTTTGTACCGCGTTACTCCCAACACTGTTTAACTGAACGTAACTGAACTGATCAGTATAAAAAAAAAACAGAAAAGTTATTGATTAGTTTATTCATCGTCCTCTGGCGCACTGAAACCACTGAAGTCATCTTCTTCAGTGTCGGAGTTGAAGAGCTTCGTCACGTACCTTTTCTGTGGCGATGTCCGTGTCGCTGTCATCATCCCGGGTGAAGCTGGGAAAACAAGCAGCGCCGTTTTACTGTGAAAAAATCCTCCTGGGCGCTTTCCGTAGCGCTCCTTTAACCATTCCTTCATTAGACTTTCCAGCATCCATCCTTTCTGGTTGACTAAAGCCGCACCTCATTATAAGCCGCATGGTTCAAAGCGTGAGAAAAAGTAACGGCTTATAGTCCGGAGAATACGGTACATGTATAATTGTTATGTGTACTTCACGTCCAAAAAGACGTTGGTTCAACTTTCATTTTGGAACAATTTTTCAACCATGTCGGCCCAACGACTTTTCAACGTTGATTAAACGTCCGAATGTGTGCTGGGAAGTAAATCATTTGAAAACTACTTAATGAATATTGGTGAACTTCTCCTTTGCTGGTCTGAATCAGAACGTAGAGTTAATGATGGCGTTTATCAGAAGCAGGTCCATAAATATGAAGTTTCAGCTTCTCCAGCATTTCTCAGAAGGACCGGTGGAGACTTTGTTACTGTTTAGGCTGCTGGGATGTTCATCCTCCTCCCACTGGAGGAAAAATGAATAATCAGTTTAATATTGTTACACGTTAGTGTTTTGTTTGGGGTTGTAGGCAGGTTAGGACAGAACGTATCTACAAGCTGCTCTCAGGATACTCCTCTGTCTCTCCCTCGTCTAAGCTTGGCCAGCATCCGCTAGCTCCACGGCCACGGTTTATAAAATATCAGTTCAGCAGTTTTGTGACTCACCTTTGTGTTCGCAGCTCTTTCTTTACTTCTGCTGCTTCACATTCGGCGTGGGATCACCGGGCATTTTTCAACAAAAAAGCCCATTTTTAGAACAATAAACAAAAACAGAAACATTTAAAGACAGAGCTATTGTTTATTTTTGTCTCTTTCTCTATCATAGACATCTTTGTCGGATGGTGAAGAGTACAAGTAAAATAGACAAGTCAAGCTGTTGGTTTCTGTTTTGCGCCTGAGAGGGAGCAACACAATAAAACAAATCAAAGTAGGCCAGAGTTTAACTGAATTAGATGTAACAAAACCGGGAGGAAGAGTCTTATATAATGGTTGCTGGTGGCATGAAATTCTCTTTCATTATGAAGACAGTTTTAAATCAAAGCTGTTTATCACATTTTTAATTCATCAGACTTCATGCACTTCATCCTTTTATTCACGTCTCACACCCTCCCTCTCTCTCGTCGCTCTGCTGTCCTTGTCTCCAAGTTCTTTTTGTGCTGGTTTCTCATTTCTTCACTTCTCACATGTTTTATCGTTTAGCCCTTTTGTAACTTTCCTCACCTAATAACTCAAAATCTCTTCTCAGCATGATTTGATCTCCTCTCTATTTTGTCAAACGTCTCATAAGAGGTCCTCTTATGTGAGCCCTAACCTCTCAGTCTGTGTTTTCTGCAGACCCTGTGGTGCTGGGCAGAGCGTAATGGCTCAGACGCTGCAGATGGCGATCCCTAACTTTGGCAACAACGTCCTGGAGTGTCTGAATGAGCAGCGGCTGCAGGGCCTCTACTGTGACGTCTCTGTGGTCGTCAAAGGGCACGCCTTTAAGGTCAAAACGTTTTACATCCATGTCACTTTAATTCTTTCTACTTATCAAAATTTACTCATTTTTAGAGAGAAAGAAATATTATGTGGGAAAAAAAAGACACAAAAATATTTGCAAGTTTTTTTATGCAGACAGTTATTCAGAGCCTGTAATTGAGCAAGCCTTATTTGAAATTGAACTGAAGTTGTTAGCCCAAACCCGGCTTTTCACCAAATGCATAAAGGACACGTAACATCCGTAAAGTGTAACACACCACTAAAAACCGCTGTTCTAGTCGATGGGTGTGTTTCCACCGGACGCGTAAGCATCGTGTTTTGGATTCTGTTGCATCGCTCCGATTATGTGTTTCAGGTTCATTTTTTACACGCGGCTGAGCTTCCAGAAAGCACCGAGCTCAGCCGTTCATATTGGGCCAGACAGGAAGTCAAACATGGGAGTAGTGTAAAACATCCTGCGACTTTCAAAATAAAAGACATGCAAATTTCCAGCTGCTTAACTAGTACAAAAAAGTATGTCATTACCTGTCATGCTTTCATAGCAGAGGTACACGAAACAGAAAATAAACCACAGACCTTCTGTCTCCTTGCTTGTGAGCATGTGATCTGCCCAAATCACGCGTGATCTTGCAATTCTCTGGAGATTTTTTTGACCTCGATGGCTAGCTGAAACGCACCCGGTGGGACTGGTTTGCTTCTGACCTTGCATCGGAGAGGCTTCCATTACAACAATCCCATGTGAACCTTCTGTATCAAATTTTATGTACAGTCAGTTCACTTGGGCTGATGACAAATTGTCCATTTGTTTTCCTGACAAATTAGTCACAACGTGTCTTAAATGTGCTGCAATTTTTCTCATAATTACAAAGAATTTCAGATACCCACATGCTTTTAAACAGGATTAGAATGGTGGCGACGTGACCGCGACCCCCTGTGACTCACAACTAACCTCATAAACGGTTCTCCTTCATAAATGCAGTTACAGTCATTCACTAAACGGTAAAGGCACATCCTGCTATCTTGGAAAATATGCTGCGTTGTTACAAGCTGGTGAAGAATTCAACCGACTAGCAGGAAAACAGCTAAGGACACTGATTACTGAATAGGGTGGAAAACTGTCCAATCTGGAAGGATTGTGGTGGCCACCTCTGAGCAAATCATGTGGTCAGACAGAAATCTGCTTTTCACTGCGGCTAATCGGAAAGTAAAGACTTGTGTTAGCAGACGCAGCTTCGAGGTAGAGATGGATCCAAACACACACATGCCGATAGGAGCAGAGACGTTTGGTTACGAGTTCAGCAGCTCTACAAGTTCAGCTGACTTCTCTAAAACCGAATGAAAAGACTTTGTGCTGCAGCTGGAGTCAGCAGAAGATCTGGATGGAACTAAATAATATCTTTTAGAGTTAATTCCACAGGAAATGTGATAAAGCAACAGTGACTTTTTCCAGAGTGTATGACTCTTGTCATCCCTGACGTTCCCCCTCAGGCCCATCGTGCAGTGCTGGCTGCCAGCAGCTCCTACTTCCGGGATCTGTTCAACGCCGTGGGGAAGAGCTCCGTGGTGGAGCTACCTCCGGCTGTGCAGCCGCAGAGCTTCCAGCAGATTCTGGCCTTCTGCTACACGGGGCGCCTCAGCATGAACGTGGGAGACCAGTTTCTGCTCATGTACACCGCCGGCTTCCTCCAGATCCAGCAGATAATGGAGAAAGGCACAGAGTTTTTCCTCAAGGTAACCTGATCATGACGCAGCAAAAGCAACATGTCGTCATTCACTCTGACATGCTGGGACATCACAAATGCACACGAGGAGGACACCACGTGGGTGTTTGTTGTGTTTATGGACGCCTCCTATGACTAAAAAGTAACTGACGCAGGGCGGTGACGCTACAGGTTCTGTCTAGAGCAACGCAATGATCTGATTAGGACGGGAGTGCTTCGCTGCATGAATCTGCGTAAAAATGAGGAAAACAACCTCCGTTTGTTGGATTTAAACTGAATTATGTTAAAAATGAAACTGGTCTTTGATCCAAAAGTTTAAATTTAGCTTTCTGAACATCTGTGTTGTAATAAACTTTGTACAACAGAGAAAATGCTGATTCTCAGTGATCAAGACTACATGCAAGGTACTTGTAGTACCCTATGCAATAAACAAGTATGTTGTCACACATTTTAGATCATGGTCTGGCGCTCATGTTTTCATTAAAGTTCTTTATATCAGCACAAATCTTGTAAAATGTAATTAAAACAACCTTTTTTCAACAAACTGTCCACAATATCCAATATTATTTATAATCAGCCAGCTTTGTTTCGATTAAAGCAGAAATCTGGACTTTTATTCCGAGGGCACCATCTAGAGGCGGAAAAATGTATCGCACTTCAAGCCCCTCTCCCTACTTCTGCCATTACAGCAGAAAGCAACGCCTCTCGTTTGTGAACGTGCGCCTCTAGCCAGCCAACAGAGCTAAAACACATAGTTTTATAATTCTTCTTCTTAAGTTAATCTGCTTATTCATATTCATGTATTTTAAAGACTTATTTTGTCCGTAAAGCCTGGGGCACACCACAGGCGGACGCACCGTCATTTTAAATGGAAGCCATTCTAGTTCATGCGAGTAGGCACACGGCGCAGCCGTGCTGTGTTGCAGAAGCGCCGCGCCGAGGCGCTGAAGATAGGCGCCAGTTCTGTCTCAAGCGCCGCCGCGGCGGTTTACAACATTGTGGAGTACTTTAAGACAGACATTACGACGCAGAACGGCTTCAGGGAAAAAACCCAGCTGCAGTTTTAATAACTTTGAAGTACAATTGATCTTAAAATATTTGAATAAATAGCGTACGTACCCACTGTTGAGAATTTGAGTCTCACGAAACATGATGACAAGTCTGATCACGTATAAACAGTAGAGTCACTTCCCGCTTCCTGTTCTCAAGTCCCGCGTGATGTTGTGACTATCGCGCGACGCGGCGCGTCCTGTGGGACCACTGGACTTCCCAAAACCAGCGTTGCGACCGCCTCCGGTGTGCCTCAGGCTTAAAAAGTGTCTCCAACTCTGCATCTGTCTAGGTTTTTCTGCAAGTGCCCAATCTGTGATTGACAGCTTGTGATTGGTCAGGACACCACTTCCTTTAATCTCGTCAACATCACCGCCATTATCTCTCAAACAACACAACATAAAGCAAATAGTAAATACACTCTTATGGACTAGATACATGGCTGTAATAGTGAAAGGATACGCCCTCTGTGTTGTCCTGGCGGGGAGTTGCTTTGACACTCCCCAGGTGAAGAAGTCTGAAGGGAAAACATCTCCGTCAATGCGTGTGCGTGACTTCACACTCGAGCTGACGGAGAAGTATAAATCAGGCTGTAGCCGCCGTTAAAGTGGAAGGCTGCGATTCCAACAGCTGCCGCATTTGAGACAAATCCCAGAAAGACACGATGTGGGAACTTTTATAATAAAAGTCACGTGCAGATTTCCAGTTTTTTTTTACCGGTGAAACATCCGTAGCCTAGGTAACCAGAGCAGAACAAATAACTGATATATTGTCTATTATATCACAGTACAGGGGTAGAACTCCGGATTGCTGCTTTTTTGCCTCGTGACTATGAAAAATACACACATTACACCAGAAATAGATGAAAACTCATTTTCTTCTTCTTGTTTTAAGTCAACAAACTACTACAGATGTGAAATTCAGTGGAATAGACTCAAAATAATGACATAAGCTTTTAAAGTTGATTCTGCCTTTGCGTCTCCTCGCCGTCAGGTGTCCTCTCCGAGCTGCGACTCCCAGGGTCTCCACGCTGAGGAGACGGCGTCCTCTGAGCCTCAGAGTCCTGTCGCTCAGACAGTGGGAGGGGGTGGAGCTACTGTGGGAAGGCCTGCGTCCTGTCTGACGCCGTTCCCTCTGGTGTCCAAGGTGAAGACTGAGCAGGCCGCCGCCATGCCTCAGCCAGCTCCGCAGCAGCAGCAGGTGGGCTCCGACAACTCAGACATGAACAAGAGAAGTTTGTCTAATCTAAACAGAAACTCCTAAAACCTTTAAAAACGATTTACCTTTGGTTCTATTATTTTTGCTTTTACCATGTGAGCTGGGTTAGGGTTCAAACGTCAGCTTGAGTAAATGTGACTCCTGACTTTACTGTGTTGTTGTTGTGTTTTATGGTCGGAGCTGTTGGTTCAGCCGGTGGTGATTAACCAGTTCTCTCTTGTTTCTTCACAGCAGGAAGGCTCACCGTACTCTGTGGTCTGCACCCCTGTGGCCAAACGACTATGGGAGGGGGGAAACCGGGATGGTGGAGGAGGGTCAGGGGGAGGCGGGGGAGGTGGGATGAGAAAGGCCGCACGCTACTCTTCCTCCTCTTCCTTTTCCTCCTCCTCCACCACAGTAACGCAGGAAGTGTCTGGGCGCGGAGCGGCAGCGAACACAGTGGTGGTGGGTAGCGGCGGTGCCACGTCCGTGGGAGGGGCTGGACTCAATAGTAATCAAAACAACAACAACAACAATGGCGGGACCCCCGAGGGCACAAGCCCAGGGACACTGAGCATGTACACCAGCGACTCGCCCATCAGTTACCATGACGACGAGGAAGAGGACGACATAGCAGATGAGACGGCCGAAGAGCAGTACAGACAGATCTGCAACATGTACACCATGTACAGCATGCTGAACGCTGGAGCAGCAGGTGTGTGTGTGTGTGTGTGTGTGTGTGTGTGTGTGTGTGTGTGTGTGTGTGTGTGTGTGTGTGTGTCTAACTTGTTGATCTTGGGTTGAATTTGTGGGGGTTTTCTAGTTTTATTATCTAAATGTTTTAAACGTACACTGCAAAAACAACACGTTCTCATTAGGGATGGGTACCTTTGACATTTGAATCGATTCGGTACTAATTCCCGGTACCTACGAATCGATACCGGTACTTAACGGTACCAATTTTTGATACTTTTGAGTGTTTAATATTTTAATTCTCTTTTATAATTAAATATATATTTTTCTCAATATATAACAATATTTGATAAATATCACGATAAATATCATACAACTGTTTGTAGTTTAACATCGTCCTTGTAGTTTTATAAGCTGATAATTAAACTGAAGCAAACATCTTTACTGTGAACTAAATTTACTGTGTATCTTCATTCCTTTTGCCGTCTTTTTTCATTTGATTTTTCCTACTGGGAAGTTAGAATTTCCGAGGAGAAAGCGAACGCACCATTAGCTGATAACAATGGTAGCAATGGAAGCTAACATATCAAGCTAACGTTATCTTAAACATTATATTTACCTACCGGAGCAGATTAAGATGAGGATGTCTCACTTAGATCGTTGTCGCTGGTTTCATCATCACCCAGTTACCCATCACATTTAGTGAAGTGGACCCAAGCTTTAGCGTGCGTTCTTTCTACCATGCTGCTCTGTTTACAACTGGCTCGCAGCGACCGACGACATGACGCTCTTGCGCATGCGCAGCTGTCTAGGCAAGTTCTCGTTGTGAAGGACGGGTACCGAATCGAGGCACCGTTTCATATGAAGTGAATCGGTGCTCTGTCGGTACTATGGAATTCGGTCGGTACCTGAAAAAGTACCGAATGCGGTACCCATCCCTAGTTCTCACACCCGAAGCGTCGAAAAGTGATGCTGGGGGACCAAGCGTTTGTTTCCTGCGCGTTGGCCTGCTGTGCCAGAGCCTTGATTAAGGTTAGGATGGGGGTGAGGGGAAGGTTAAATAGCAAGAGGGTAAAGGTCACAATTCCTTGAAATCCGTTTTACCAACGCGTCGGAAACACGCTTGAGAGAAAGACATATTTTCAGGAAAGTAAAATGCCATGTTTTACATAATTTATCTTATTTTAGAAAAGGAAACAAACTTCTTATCTGCAAAAACAAAGTAGATTTTCTGAAAAATGATTAGATTTTCATGTTTTGAGTAAAAATTGTGCCAAGGAGGTAAGCAAAGGTTGCCCGGCAAATTAGCGAATAAATTAAACTAATTCATTTTTGCAGTGTAGAAACAAACATCGTAGCATCTTTTTTTTATGGGTTAGGACAAATGGCCATCAGTAGTAATCACCTTTCATCCTCAGTGGTCGGGGAGCCGGTGGAGGCCCTGCCAGACCTGACTCCTGACTCGGGTGGTGGGCGGGGAGGGAGAGGGGGGCGGACCCGCCAGGAGCTGGCATCGCTGCCCGCCGAGCTCATCAGCCAGATCGGTAATCGCTGCCACTCGAAGCTGTACGAGGAGGGCGACCCTGCTGAGAAACTGGAGCTGGTGAGCGGCACCTCTGTCTTCATCTCCCGCGCTCAGCTCATGAACTGCCACGTCAGCGCCGGGACGCGCCACAAAGTGCTACTCAGACGGCTGCTGGCGGCGTTCTTTGACAGGTCAGGGACTAAAATCCTTTCTGATGGCTGCTCTCTGACCTCCGTTACGACTGTCGTGCTCACGCGGCGTTTATTCTTTATTTTCTGCACTTGTTCAGGAGCACCTTGGCCAACAGCTGTGGAACTGGCATCCGCTCATCCACCAATGACCCGAGTCGTAAACCACTGGACAACAGAGTGCTGCATGCTGTCAAATGTGAGATTTTAAAAGATCGCTTTTTAATTCTGTATCTATTTTTATTCTCACTCTTATTTATCTCCTGTAATTTCTCCAGTCTACTGCCAGAACTTTGCGCCAAGCTTCAAGGAGAGCGAGATGAACGCCATCGCGGCCGACATGTGCACCAACGCGCGCCGCGTTGTCCGCAAAAGCTGGATTCCCAAGCTTAAACTGCTGATGGCTGACAGCGACGCCTACTCCGCCTTCTTGGCCGACAGCGTAAAGATGGAGGCCGATACGCTGGGGGTGGAGCAAGGCTTCGACCCCGCCTCTTTGGAGGCCGTCACATCGGCAGCGGCTAATCATAATAACGAAGCGGGAAGTGGAGCCATGCCAGCGGACAACCTTCAAGGGGCGGGAGGAGACAGCAGCACTTTGTTTTGAGTGAGAGACGGACAGATGGATGTTTGATAGGCGGAGGGAGACGAAGACATGGACCGCTGTGGTCCTGATGGCGGTTATCCCGCCCCTCAGCTGTGCCATGTGGTCGGAGATCTGCCTCTTCTCTTTGGTGGTGTGCTGTCCGTCCTTTCTGTCTCTCTCCACGCCTCAGAATGTTTCCCGTTGTCCTTCTGATGGAGAGAGACGGAAAACAAGTTGGAGGACGGAGGTTAAAGCTAAGCCCCTCCCTCCATCTCTATATGGTTTGTTTCAGCTTTTTATATTTCTAAAGCTTGTTTTGTCACTAAAGCCCCTTTTTTGTATAAAAATATCAATCCCAGACATTCCGTTTGGGAGGGGGGGCGAGAGCATGGCATTCCCTCCCCCCAAAACTCCGGTAACACTGTTGTTTTGATAATGAATGTATGCGTGGCGGCGCGTCGGAACCGATGCGAGTCAGCGATGACTGAGAGATTGTGCTGAGCCCCTTTTGTTTGTTTGTTTGTTTGTTTGTTGTGTTGCTTTGATCATCTGGACGATGCTTCTCTGAGCGTTGATGAGGTCACGGGTTTGTTGATACGGCTACTAACGCAGTTGGAGATGTCCTGGAGCGCCGCCTGACCCCCCCCCCCCCCCCCCCCCCTTTAGAGAACGAGAAAAAGCAGCAAACACACTTGGCTCATTTTTAAAATCCCTAAACTTCCCGTTAGTAACCCTTAAAACAATTAAGTTTGTTTACTTTTGAGTTTCTTGCTAGCCAAGGCTCCTGAAGGAGAGGAGTTGTGTTGCAGACGATTGTCTAGGAGTTTACGTGAGTTAAAGGCACTGTGTCGTTTCCTGCGGTTTGAGTACAATCAAACTAAGTTTTTGTATTTATCGAAGGAGAAGAGAGATGTTTTTATTTAAAAGGGAAAAAATCCAAAAAAGGAAACAAAAAGTAGCAGAACTCTAGCTAGTATCGACATTTACCGCCCACTCTCACTCCTTCTGCCCGTCATCAGCTCAGCTCATCCAAACTGCTGTTTGTTGTTATTATTACAAGTGCTAATAGTTGGCAGGGAACAGCAGCTGAGTGTGTGTGTGCGTGTGTGTGTGTGTGTGTGTGTGTGTGTGTGTGTGTGTGTGTGTGTGTGTGTGTGTGTGTGTGTGTGTGTGTGTGTGTGTGCGTGTGTGTGTGTGTGTTGAATGGCCCGGTTGTGATGTACAGAGAGAGCGGGAAGTCAGACGGCGGGTTTTCACACACACGCTCGGTGGATCCATTCATCGTTTGGCGTGATGAGCTAATAAAAACAAGACGTCACATTCGGGCTCTGGCGTCTTGCACAGCTCAGCAAAGCATTGTGGGGGGAAAAGGAGAGCTACACCAAAAGAACGAGAGAGAAAATCTTCCGCACTGCTTGGAAGTTTATGGGCGGAAACGACGATCAGACGCGAGAGGAAGCTGGGTCAGGTGAATATTGACAGAATCAGAAGCAGAGCAGTGCACCGGGAAGCTCAGATCCTTCATTTAAACTCTTTTATTTTTGTTTTTCACTCCTGCGTCTGAAATCGAATCTGCCAAAAGGAATAGCTTGACTGTTAGAGGGACAAAATCAGTCCAGTTCATTCGTTACGATCCAACGCGGACTCAAAATCGCCCTCGTATTTCTTTCTGTTAATATTTGTTGTAAGCGTCTTATTGTCGCCTGTGTGGCATCAAACATTTGTCACCTGGTAAAGACTGAAACTGCTAAACGTTTCCTGATTTAAGACCACAGCAACATTGTTCTAAGACGTGTTGAAACGTCTTTGGAAAAGAGCAGCTTTCCAGGTGTTTTCCAGCCCAACAGTTTGTTGATCAGTGTTAAAAAGCGTAGACTTCCCTCTAAGATCGGGCTCGGGAGAAATGTGTTTTATTATTATATATATTTATATATTTCCATGTCTTTCCTTGTTGTTATCATCATTGTTGTTGTTGTTGTTGTTGTTGTTTTCTTTGCTAATGGATGTTAGTCCCTTAAGAGGAGCATGTAAAGACCAAAGTAGGGAGCACACAGGTAACTGAGCTTGAGACACGCAGGAGAGAAAATTCTTTAGGAAAAAGATCTCACGGTACAAAGATGGAGGAGACGGGATGGTTGCACATTTCTTTAGATGAACTGTCAGTAAAAAGTACAGTTTAACTCCAGTAAATATGAAGGTGCTGCCTTAAACCAGCGAAGACAGCAATGAGAAACAGGGACAGAAAGAGAGGACAAGCTCCCCACAGAGGAGGGACGAGTGAATAGGAGGGGGGAGAGGGGGGGGGGGGTAGCTGCAATGCTTGGATGGTTTGGTGTGAATGCATGCATGCTGACGTGTGTGTGTGTGTGTGGGGGGGGGGGGGGGGGTTTAATGGGCATATTAATGTATGTATGCAATCTCCCTTTCCTCTATCTCCATTTATGGCAAGTTAATGTCTGCCTTCTCGCTTGAAAGAGCTCTGACAGTGTGTGTGTGTGTGTGTGTGTGTGTGTGTGTGTGTGTGTGTGTGTGTGTGTGTGTGTGTGTGTGTGTGTGTGTGTAAAGCTCCTGGCTTGGTCTGCGTCTCGATCTATGTGCTGCATACGTGTGTCTGGCTTCATACAGCAACTGCGCATGTCTGTCACTGTGTGTGTGTGTGTGTGTGTGTGTGTGTGTGTGTGTGTGTGTGTGTGTGTGTGTGTGTGTGTGTGTGTGTGTGTGTGTGTGTGAGAGAGTGAAAGTGGGTGGTATGTGCACAGGGGTTGAGATGAGTGGCTGTTTGTTTTTTTTCCTGCCGAAGAGCGCAGCATACCTTTCTTTTCCCCAGCTTTACAAACACACACACACACACACACACACACACACACACACACACACACACACAGTCTGTGTGTTTGTTTCATATTTGAGCTGCAGGTATTTTGCAGCTGCGTCTTTAACTGCAGCATTTATGTTACTGGGTGTGTTTTTTAATTCAAATAAAGCTCATTTAAGTATATTTTAAGCACTTCTGTCCCTCCTTTTTGGGGAACGTTTTATAATTCTGATCCCTTCCCTGGAAACTCGTCCCAGTCTGGTCAGCACCCCGTGTTTCTGCATGGGACAGCAACACGACTGCAGTCTTATCTCCTTCCGTCTTCATCCTCCGTCTGTTCTCGTCTTTCTTTGTGTACATCTCTCTCTGTCTCATTGTTCCTCTCCACAGATATACATGAATCTGTCTTCACACACACACACACACACACACAGAGAGAGAGAAGAGCTAAACAGTCCCTTGTTGCTTCATTACGTGAACCATCGTCTTCCATCCAACCACTGCTTCATTTCTGTCTCGACTCCATTTTCCTCACAGAATGCAAATCCCTGCCAAACTCTCCTCGTGTGTGTGTGTGTGTGTGTGTGTGTGTGTGTGTGTGTGTGTGTGTGTGTGTGTGTGTGTGTATGTGTTCCTCTGTACGTGTGAGTGGGTGTGTTGTCTACCACAACAGATGGGGCTGCCAAATAGGTTGCTGCTGGTGTGTGTGTGTGTGTGTGTGTGTGTGTGTGTGTGTGTGTGTGTGTGTGTGTGTGTGTGTGTGTGTGTGTGTGTGTGTGTGTGTGTGTGTGTGTGTGTGTGTGTGTGTGTGTGTGTGTGTGTGTGTGTGTGTGTGTGTGTGTGTGCATATATGTAAGCAATTTGAATGCAAATCTGAAGGTCGCTGGGCGTAGATGAGCCACATCAGGGGCTTGGTGCATGAGGAGCTGATTGTTTGATGGTTTTTGTGCCTACTGCACCTTTTAATAATCAGACTATTGATGAGGAAGTCTGCCCTTATGTTCCGCTCGCTGCCGTGGCCGGCCAATCACAAACGTTCCCAGGAGGGACGCAGCCAATCCTGAGGTGAATATCAACCAGATTGTTGAACCAACTGACCAAGTGGGTTTAATAAGTAATTCTAATTATCTCAGACTGGAGTCTTAAAGCGGAAGGGGAGGAGATGTTTGTTAGGAATCTCCCAGGACGGATGAGGCATTGCGGCATTCTGCCGTCACACGAGCAAAGCTTCAATCCAGACAAAGGCGAGAGAAGAGGCTGATGACAGGGAGGCAGAGAAGGAGGTGGCTGTCTCTACGTAGATCCCCAGCCCCACTGAAATATTGTCACCCGTTCCCTTTATCTTAAACAGCATTTAAACACTCCTCAGATAGTTTAATATGACCATCAGAGTTCAGGAAAGACCAACTAAATCAGATATTTGTCAGTGATTCATAGTGAGAGTCGCTGCTTCTCTTCTGTGGGTCCAGATGTAAATATTTACCCGTTTCCTCCGCCTGAGTGATGGTACCGTGAGCTGAACACCAGAAGCAATCTGAAGGAAAATGATAGTCTTCAGAGCAACCGTAGTGAAAATAATCTGAGTTTTAACTGTAAAAAGCAATAATGTGTGTAAATGTAGTAGCAGGGCAGAGATGTGTGTGATTTACAGAACGTGAGCTGACATGGGAACCACGGGGTGGAGCTGCTGCGGCAGCACCAGACCTCAGTGTTGATTTTCTTTGTCACACAAAAACAAGTTGGAATGTTAGAAAAGTGATTATTTATCCACAGTAAAGAGTTTTAAATCAAAGAACGTTTGTGATCGGAGGTCCAAAGTCCATTAGCTAGTAATGGGCCAGAGCTTCGAAAATATGCTTGCTTTACTTCCAATGAGCAGTTTAGTTTTTATTAGTCAGTTTACTTTTCTTAAGTTTGAGGAAAGGTCACAATCGAATAGTTGGAGCCAGGAACGCACGGGGATACAGCCGTTTGCAACTAGTTGGAGAAATGTATGAGAAAATGAACAAATGGACTCGGTGCGTGCAACACTTCTGAGACAGTTTCATTTACGAGATAACTAGGAGTGGCAAAAATCTGATGTCACAATGAACATCACATCATGGGAGTGGATATAACATACTGCGATAAAAGCCAGATGACGCAATTTTAAGACTGGATTTAATATAATTCAAAGACATCTCCAGAGTTATCGCGAAATCTCATCTTGTCAGAATGTGGGTGATAAAAGCTGCTGCCACCTAGCAGTCGGAGTTTGAATTGCACCACTCAAAAGAAATACAGTAAATGTTTGCTTGTAAATTCTCAAAAATCAATTCACTACTTTTAAATATCAATTTAGGATCATAAAACTAGGGATGTGTATTGGTGAAATTCTGGCGATGCGATATGTATCACAATACGATAATCACGATATATTGCAATAAATTCAGTCAGACGATATTAGCGATTTTTGACTGAATTTATTGTAGGAAAACTCAATAAACAGTCCAAACTGATATGTAACATGTTTAACTTGAGGTATCTGAACCATAACAGCAGAATTTACATTTCATTGACCTATTGCACACTGCTGCCAACTAGTGGTCAGCGTTTGGATTGCGCCAAAAGAAAGGAAAATACACAAATGTTTGCATGTAAGCTCTTCCAAAAAATTTGATACACGGCTTTTGAATATCGATATTTGCAGGAAAAAATATCACAATATATTGCCATATCAATGTTTTCTTATCTACATAAAACAAAATATTGCGATATTTTAGTGTATCGATAAGTTCTTACACCCAAATGCAACATTAGCATGAAAGTTGGGCAAACGTTCCTGTCATAATTTAGTCATAAAGTTTCTTAATTATGTCTCAAGTCTCAATTTGCCTTTATTTTAGTTTCAATATGGTCTCCAACTCCCCCTGAAGTTGTCTCGTATTTCTTGGACTTTTTGGCTAACTCGAACTAAATTGAGAATTGTGACTATTTTGAGATGGAATTTTTCAAACAACTTTTATACGTACAAAAGTCCAGCAACACAAAAGTGAGAAAACCTGTAGAACATTTTGGAAACTCACCCATGAATGCAGTTTTTAAGTGTTACAGAGAAAATAAGCAAATGATTGTTACAACAAATGTTTCGACTTTCTGAGCTACAGGACAAAAAGGACCACATGATGTTAAAATACTTGAGTTTCATTGTTCATTTTATCCGTTTTCGCCCCTTTTTACGGCTGCTGAATCTGTGGGTGGCGCCAAAACAGCTTTTTTTTTTTTACTATGGATTTTATTTTACAGTGTATATTTTTTGTGTTTTAGCCTTTTTTTTAACATTTGAGTTAGCGCACTGTAGTTTTTTTTAAGGAGTTGCTACTAATCTTTCCTCGTTAACACCCGCACGTAGTTGCCAAGTTGTGTAAAATGTTACAGAGAAAGACGGCTAACTGTATTATAGTTTAGAGAAAGAGAACCACATATTTTTGCAATTGTTGTATGACTGAGGTGCTGTGGGCTGGAGGGTGGGGGGGAGATTAAATGCTGGACCAGATGTTTTGTTTTAACTGTATTACAGCGTTTGTCAGGACGGGATCAGGAGGCCGACTAACAAAACGGATGGAAGGTTCGGACAAACGAAAATCTCCTGTAGCTAGCCAAATCTGTTTTGTGGTGAAAATTTGACTCAACTCTAAACGATTTGCGACTTAAAGTTTACTTGACCTGGTTTTTAAACCAGCATCTCCTTTACAAGAATAAGCTATTGCTGCTTGAATGTTTGACTTCCCTCGTTAGACGCCACCTGGTGGATGAATCCCACTACTGCAGCATCAGCCCCCACCACCAGGTCAAACGATCCCAGTGAGCGGCGATTCCACACGAGTTATGATTGTAAACAAGAGTCCATCACTGTATTCATTAGAGCACCTTAACAGCAGACGCCCACCTGGAGAGGGGGGCGGGGCTTCTGCTACTCATTTAATAAATGTGACACAGCACATTAATCCTCCAAAATGTCCACAGCTGGTGAGTCCTGATACCAAAAAGAAGCTGTGAGTGGACTGTGAGATTAGAAATCCTGTTCCTGACTGTCCCCCATCCTCCGGTCGGTCCCGTTTCCCTCCTGGTTCTGTCCTAGAGGCCGATCCACAGAAAGGGACTGAAGTGACTTGTCGAGAGTGGAATAATCTTTAAAAAACAAAAAGCACCTTTTGGGGGAAGCACTCGGCTGTCCTATAGAGCTGAACCCCCCTGCACCTTTCTAAGCACGCTCACTGTGTCACTTCCTGTCTGTGGTTTGGACGACAGCGTTAGTTGAGACTGTTCTTTTGTTTGTTTGTTTATTTGGGGGCGGGGCAAAGTGAGGGATTTTTACCTTTTGTACTGTTGTTGCCTTTTTGAATTCCTTTAAAAGACATTTTGCTGTTTACTGTAAAAAAGAGAAAAGATGAAGGTTGTACTGAACGAGCTGTAAGAGGCCCTCCCCGCCCTCC